AGGCGCTGGGCACTGTGCCTGCAGGAGAGGCTAGGAGTCCAGCATCACTTTGATGCTCAGGGTAGATGATGGGCCTCAGGCCATTTTGGTGTCAGCAAGCAGACCGACCACCTTCCTTCCCTCGCCGGTGGTCTCCCTAAGACACTGCCCAGGTGCCAGCTGCAGGGGTCGGAGACGGGGCCTTCACAGCTGAGCTGGCCCCACGCCTTACAGAGTAGTGCCCACATGACCCCTACAGGGTCATCTTTGATGTCAGGCTGGGATCTGGCGAGTTCCTGTGGCTTCCCAGAGGCCACAGGGCCTCCCTGTAGACGCCAGCCACTCGCTCTCTTGGCCTCTAGTCTCATTAGTGGTAACTCTGCTCGCTTCTGTTCCCTAAAATAGGACCCTAGCTGGGAGATGGCTCTGAAGTGGGCTCGGCATGCCCCCTTCTCCTTGGCCAGATTTCAGACTCGGGGGTAGAGAACAGGGGACTCCAAGGACTGGCTGCCTCCTGTGAAAGTTTGATGTTGATTGGTAGATGGAGGGCAGGGCGGGGGGGGGGGGGGGGGGTAGGAAGAAAGAAGCTGGAGATGGCTGCGCGTGCCCTGGGCCTGTGAGGTGGGGCCAGTGGTCGGGAGGGAAATCCACCTGGCTGGCTCCCAGGGCCGGTGCAGGCCCAGGAAATGTCTGTCTGGTAGTTGGGGGAAGAGGTTGTTAAATGGGGCCAAGTCTGGCACTGTGTCTGCAACACTAGAAAGAACCGTGGGACTGAGGCTCCTCCTTCCCTGCCCGATGGTTGGGACCACCCTGCCTGTCTTCCTCCCATGAGACAGCCTAGTGTGGTAGGAACATTTCTCTCCCCACTGGGCGAGGCTGTGTGTGTGTGTGTGTGTGTGTGTGTGTGTGTGTGTGTGTTTTCATCTATCCCACTAACAGCCCTGTAACTGCCAGTTTCCTACCTGCCCATGGCAACGCCAGACCCAAATCACTGTCCTCTCCTCCCTCACCAGACTCCCATGGGCACCTCTGGAGAAATAAACTGACAAGCATAATTGAGGCCATTCTCCAGAGAATCTGGGTCTAAAGTAAAAATTTCCTCAGCCCTGTCTAGGCTGTTAAGGCCAGAGGATCCAATTCTGGGCGTTTGGGGACTTGAATCATGCAGATGTCTGTCTGAACTCTGTCCAAGGGCTGGAAATGCGTCAGGAGAGGCCCCCTTGGAGAAGGATGAAGTGCTGTGTGCTGGTGGCCCTGCTTCTGTGAGTGGCTTAGAGGGTGGGGGGTCAGGAAAATGTTCTCTGCAGTGGGGAAAAAAAACCCCCTCTTCAATCCAAGAGGTTGGACTTTGCACCTGGCTAGCCATGCTGGAAGCGTGGCTGCAGCTGACCCATTCTGCTCTCTCCTACCCAGCACTACAGAGGCTGCATCAGAGAGCATGCAGGGCTCTGGCCTGCAGGGGTTCTTGATTCAGGGTGGAGAGGGTTGGAATGTCAGAGATGAGCTGTTCTGGGGAAGAGGCTGGTCCTCACCTGCCTCAGGGGCTGGTCCCTGACCCTTTGCTCTGCTCCCATGCCACCCAGACATTCACACACCACCCCAGTTGCCTCGGTATCTCATGCAATCCAGACTTCCTCCTGGGGAGATGCTGGCCACAGGGAGACTAGATAAGGGTTAAAACCACTAGTCACAGGTGGCCCCTGAGCACTTGTGATGTGCTGGGGGAGGAGCATACACACCAGATTCTGAAGACTTATTACAAAAAAAAAAAAAAAAAAAAAAAAAAAAAGGAAAATATCTCAGTAGTTTTGTATAGTAATTACATGTTAAAATGATAACATATGAGTTAGGTGAATATGAAATTTTAATATTTTTATTTAATTTTTAAACTTTAAAAAATGTGACTAGAAAAAAAAAACACTTAAAATTACATATGTCCAATCAGAAAGGATATATGCACCCCTATGTTCATAGCAGCACAATCTACAATAGCTAGAATCTGGAAACAGCCTAGGTGCCCGTCAGCAGATGATTGGATCAAAAAACTATGGTACATCTACACAATGGAATACTATGCTGCCATAAAAAAGAAGGAATTCTCATCATTTGCAGCAACCTGGATAGAACTAGAGAACATCATGCTGAGTGAAATAAGCCAGTCAATGAAAGAGAAATACCACATGGCCTCACTCATTTATGGATATTAAAGAACATTATAAACTGACAAACCAAAAGTCAGATATAAAGACAGTAAAGCAACAAGCAGACTGTAAAATTACAGCGGGGAGGGTAGGGAGATCTGGGGGAGATAGAGATCAACCTAAGGACTTGTATACATGCATATAAGTACAACCAATGGACACAAAACTCTGGGGAGGGAGGGTATGTATTGGGGGGGGGGAGGCAATGTTAAAATATGTACACAGATAATAATTTAATTTTAAAAAAAGGGAAAAATTACATATGCTGCTTGCATTGAACTTCTATTGGTAAACTCTGGGTTAAAGAATTTGGAGTTCAGTGTTAAAAACCAAAAAGTCTGGAGACTGTGAGATATTTTCCCCTCATCACCATCTCTAGATTCTCAAATTAGGATCCCAGGTTTTAACTTCAGGGATCTGGGAGTTGGAGAATTTTTAAATGCAGTATTCTGTCTTCAATTCAATGATCTTTTAAAAATGCTTTTGCAGATGATTTTTAATTAGAAGGCATTTTCATAGGATAAGATTCTTATGTCTTATGTTTCAAGTCAATGTTTCTCACATTGGAATCCTCAGACATTTCTCGGGAAGTAAGATACTTTCCCCTTCCTTTGACAGGTCCATACTCAACCCATGTTTGGAAAATTGTGTTCTCAGGCCTCCGGATTCGTGGATGGCACTGTGATAATCTGGCAGCTCTCTTCCTCTATCTTTTCATACTTCCCACCTCTCCTGTTTGCCCCCCAACCCCATCAGCATCCCCATCCTCTTCCTTTCCCAGGAGCCCAGGGGAGGGGCAGTCCCTTGGAGAGACCCCTGGCGTTGAGGGGAGGCTAAAAGAGATGCCCTTTCCCCCCTCTTCCTGACATTTCAGGACCCCTCCCTGATTTTCCTAAGGACACCGTGGGGCCTTCTTGCCTTCTCTAACTTTGGATGCAACCTCTGAAGCTCACCCTTGGGGTGTATGAAGGGAATGAGCTGGGGAAAAGGCAGGCTTTTACTTTCATTCATTCATTGGTTGATTGTTGTATATGCCCTGACCAGGGATTGAATCAAAACCTTGGCGCATCAGGATAACACTCTAATCAGCTGAGCTACCCAACTAGATTCAAGGCAAGCTTAGATTTAGAAGTCACACTATCAAGAACCAGTCACTCACCTAGCCCCATTAGGGTCTGAATGAGACCATTAGAGGCACTAAGAACTGACAAGACTATTTATGTTTTACCAGCACCTCCTGTAATGTGAAATAAAGCTATCTATCCTAATCCATAAAATGAGAAAGAAAGAAAGAAAAAAGGGGGGGGGGGAGGTTCATGAAAATTCTAATTGCTCATACAGTGACTACCGTGATGTACTTTTGGAAATATCAAGATAATGTGTGTGTGTGTGTGTGTGTGTGTGTGTGAAGCACTTTGGAAACCCAGCATCACACACATCCCTCTCTCCCTCCCCGCCCCTCCCCCGCCCCATGCCAAAATCCTTCCCACAGTCACCCTTCAGGCCCTACTGAGAAATGCCACTGTCGGCAGGACTGGTAGGTGTTAGGGGTTAGGTGGGGCCTAGAAGGACAGGAAGAGTCTGTTTGGAGAGGGATGGAGGGAGGAAGGAGATGAGGGCTCCACCCCTTCCCACTGACCCAGAACCCTTCCACTCCTGCCTCCATGCTGGCCATTGTCTGTTCTCCAGAGCCTCTGGGAGGAGGTGGGATGTCAGATGTCTGGGGTCCTCTCACTGCCCTGTTGATGTAGTCACCCACCCTCTCCCAGTGTGCTTTGGGGCAGAACTCTCTGACAGCCCCTCTCACACCTGGACCCAGCCCCTGCCCGCTTCCTTACTACCCAGCTCCGAGGCTGCCCACTCAAGAGACCTCCCGAGACCTCTACCTCTGGCCTTCCATGGTCCAGACGGTGCAAAGAAGGCAAACCCTTTGCCTCTCAGCCCAAGGCAGGCAAGAGTTGGGGTTGAGAGGCTCATTAAAGCGTTTAATAAGCAATTAACTCAAGAGATGAACCCTTTGGCTGGTCTGGAACTCCCTCCTCCCAGCGGGGTGCCTGGCAGAGAAAGGCGGAGTGGGTGGGCGGAGTGGGTTCACACAGTTGGCTGGGGCCTCTTTCCTCCTCCCCTAAATTCAAATGAATAAACAAACAAAGCTGGGGCTGGAGAATGGCTGAGGCCTCGGGGAAGCCCAGGGCTCTATCCGTTTTCTGTTAAGGCTGCAGGCAGGTTTAGGGAGGCAAGGGCACAGGTCCTCCAAGTTGGGCCTTTTCAGGGCTGGTAGCATCCCCTTCAGGTGAGATCCTCAGCTCACAGAGAAAGTGCTTGGAGACCCCAAGAAGAGGTAGCTCCTCCCATCTGACTCCACTCCACCTGCAGGAGCCCTGACCCAATCCAGGTCATTCCCTCACTCTGTCCTCAGGATACTGGGCTTAAGACTTGGGCTAGACAGAGCTGTGGAGGGCTGAAAGGGGGTGCTATAGGCTGAATGCAGAGGTTCCAAGGTATAAAGGAGCATTGCAACTTCACATCTATTCACCTACCCACGTGCTTACAGAGCCTAAGTCGGACCCAGGCCATAGGGGGACCCAGGGCAGGTGAAATGCTTGGTTTGGGGCTCGCTGTTGAGCAGTCGGCCTGAACCAGTTGCTGGCTCCTCCTTATAAACTCCTGGAGCTGGTGGTGGTCTGCTGCCTTGCACAACTTTAGGTGGTGTCATTTACCCAGAATGCAATGTGATTGTGAAATGGGCTCCCCACTCCATCCACACTCTCCAGCTTGTAACAGCACATTTTCCTATCTGTGTTCTCCCTCTGCCTTCAGGCTCTTGAGCAACAACAAGATCACGGGGCTCCGGAATGGATCCTTCCTGGGACTGTCCCTGCTGGAGAAGTTGTAAGTCCTGGGGCAAGGTGGGGCAGACGTGGGGCATTATGGTCATGGGCAAGAGCTTCGTTCAGGAAGAATGAGGAATGCTGGTTGCTAAGGGACCCCACAACCTAGGGCCTGCTGGCCAAGAGTCAGACCCACTGGGACCCTGCCCAGGGCTTGACTCCCAGGTGAAAGGCAGGAGGGGTTGATCTGAGAGAGAGACCGGCTCCTTCCCCTGTGACAGCAGAGAAAAGTAGAGAAACCTCGCTGGTCTAGGCAGGACTTAGGAGGTAAGGGAAGCTCATTAATGCTCTTTAATGTACAATCGGCTATGAGAGCTGAGCCTCTTAGTTGGCCAGAAGCCTCTGCCTCCTCCCAGCTGGGGGCTCAGCCTAAAGAAAGGGCTGAGGGAGGACTCAGTATGACTGGGACCTCTTCCCTCCTTCCCTAAAAGCAAATCAACAAAGCCCTGAGGGGCCAGAGCCCGGGGCGGAGGATGGGGATAGCGGACACATCCAGATCTCCATGTACCCACACCCCTCCTCCCTAGTTTACAGCTGCAGCCTCCGTCTGTCCATCCACCCTACAGACCCAGGCGGGCTGGGGTTGGGCTCAGGAGGGCCCTGCTAGCCCACAAGAAACTTCTTCCCAGAGTTGGGGACTTGACCTGGTCATGGGCAAGTCACTTTACCCGCCAAATGAGGGGATTGAGCCAATCCCTCAGTCGGCTTCCTGTTGAGTTGGCATGCTCCAGGATCCACAGCTTGTACCACAGCTCTGGGTCCTGTCTCCACAAAAGACCTGGCCTCCCATCCTATTTGGAGACTGAGTCCTCCTTCCATCTGCCCCTCCTCAAACCCCCTCTCTCCCACCTCTGCTCCCACCCTTCTGGGCATTTCCAAGTCCTCCAACAGGGCCCCTCCCCCCTCTAGTACCCATTGCTTGGATCAATGCAGTGGAGGATCCAAAAGAATAAGGCAGCAAAGACCCAAAGAGATGAGCATCTAGTGGAGACCACAGACAATGCCATGTGTATTAGAATTAAGTAGGATGGGGTTTGTGTACCTCAAGTCCAAAAGAAGGGTCAGTGAAGTTCAAGGAGGATAGAGATGCAGTATCTTCGTGACAAGGAGTTTAGATCTTTAACCAGGACAACAACCTTATGAGCTTGTCTCTATTATACCCATCTCACAGGGGAAGGGGAAGCCTCTCTTCCAACTCCCCTCCCCCGCGGTGAGGAAAGCTTGATTAGTGGTTTGGTTCGTGGCAGGAGGGGAGGCAGAGCATGTTCTGTCTGATCTGGCCCATTCTAGGCGTGGGAGGGGGTCTTGGGATGTTGACCTTAGCGTCGACCCAGCTCTGTGACCATCTGATCATCTGCTCAGCAGCTCACAGACAGGGTGGTCCAGGCCAGGAGAAAGAGCTGCCAGCAGCTGTTATTTAATGTCTCCTTGGGCACCAGCAAACAGGGAAGGTTTTATCTTCCCTGCGCCCTTAGTGTTTGGGAGTCCGATTCCTCCGCTCAGCCCAGGCTCAGTCTTAGAGGGCTGACTGGCAGGAAACCAGACTCTCCTTCCAGGATCCTTGGGAGGAAGACAAACCGCAGCTGCCTCTCCAGCCCTTCCCTTTGCTCCGCAGGGGCCAGTCACCGCCCAGAGACATTCTCCCTTCTCTCCCTTCTCTTAGCACAAGCAAGTACTGCTCTGAGCCTTGCATGCCTCACTGACATCTTCCCAACTTTACCCTTTCGGTTTATCAGCCGGACCCACTGGGTCTGCCCCCTCCTCATCCTTCAGTCTAATGATAGAGCTTCTAATGAAGCTGAAAAGGTGGCCTTTTTCTTCCCACCCGTGTCAACATACGGAATCAGACGCCTCTCCTCAGCACTGTGACTCTGGTGGCCACACAGCAGGTGCATGCAACACATGGGAGGCAATCAGAAGAAAGTGGGAGAATAGTCCAGAGCAATGACTAAATCAGAGTCATCTGAGGTGGAAGGGCTGCTGGGCATGAGGAAGTGTGAGTTCCTGCTCTGTTAGGAATCATTCTAGTCCTTCATCCTAGAGAACTTTATTGAGCCCCCTTTCTTTATTGTGTTGTTCATTTATATATCACAAATCTCCCTGATGTGTGTGCAAAGCTCTGTTCTAGGCATTGGGAGTGAACACAGTAGACCAAGTGCCTGCCCTCATGGAACCTACTCTCTCTTGATGGGACCCAGGAAATAGCAAATAGATGTATATTATGTCAGGAGACAATAAGTGCTCCAAAGAAAAATGAATCAGGGTAAGGAGGATAGAAAGCCATTGGGGTGGGCAGGGGCAGCTGGTTTATGCAATGGGGTCAAGAAAGGCCTTGCTGACAAGGTGACTGAGCCTGAGACTCGAGGGATGGGGAATCAGAAACATCCGAAGGACACAGAGAGCAGCAGTTGGCAAGGCCCTCAGGTCCAGAGTTTGCCTGGTGAGTCTGAGGAACAGAAGGGCATTGTGACTGGGAATTGGTCAGAGATGAGGTCAGAGAGATGCAGGGGTGGGCGCCAGGTTTGGGGCCTCAGTTTCATCATCTGTGAAAAGGGGAGCGGCGGAGATAGGGTGATTTGTAAGGTGCATTATGGATTCTATGATTGTGTGTGTGTGTGTGTGTGTGTGTGTGTGTGTGTGTGTGTGATATCCACAAGTGAAGGAAAAGATCAAAGAGCAAAGTGACGTGGCCGGTTATTCCAAAGGAGGGGAGACCTCTGTGCCGAAGGATGGAAAGGCAGTGCAGGGGCCAGAGGACCCAGGCTCTCCATCCTGGTTGATCACAACTGTATCAGTCAGGATTCTCCAGAGAAACAGAATCAGTTGGAGATGCGTGTATGTGTGTGTGTGTGTGTCTTTATAAAACATATAAAGAAATGTTAAGGAAATGGCTCACATGATATGAGGGCTTGCAAATCCAAAACCTGTAGAACAAACCCACAGGCTGGTAAGTCAAGCCAGGAGTTGATGCTATAGTCTTGAGACAGGATTTTTTTTTTTTCTTTTTAAATATATTTTATTGATTTTTTGCAGAGAGGAAGAGAGAGGGATAGAGAGTTAGAAACAGAAACATCGATGAAAGAGAATCATCGATCAGCTGCCTCTTGCACACCCCCTACTGGGGTTGTGCCCGAAACTAAGATACATGCCCTTGACCGGAATCGAACCCCGGACCTTTCTGTCCGCAGGGCAACGCTCTATCCACTGAGCCAAACCGGTTTTGGTGAGACAGAATTTCTTTTTAGCTTTTGCTATTAAGGCCTTCCACTGATAGGAGGAGGCCCACCACATTATCAAAGGTAATCTCCTTTATTTAAAGCCAGCCGATGTGGTTACCATCTACCTTCAGCTTAGTGTTTTGATGAAGTTACAGGGTGCTGCAGCCTGGCCTAGCAGACACATATGAGTAAAACTAATCATCGCAAACACGATCCCACAATCTCAGAGATGGGAGAAGGCCTGGGCCCCCGCTGCTAGAGACGCTAATTCGTCAGGTTGGAGGGGGCCTGGGAATTTCTTACAAGGTACGCAGGCGATTCTCATGCCCATCTGGGGTTGGGAACCAGTGGACCAGATGACCCGTACACTGTGGGCCTATTCATCACCAGCGAGACGCTGTGGCCTGGCGTGCAGTTGGTGCCAGGAAACACTGATCTCTCTGTCCTGCCAGGCTGAGACGTCCAGGCTTGGGCAGCCGAGCCTGTGGCAGCCTCACATCCCACAGCCTATGGCAGCAGGAGGGTCAGGGCCTTGACATCCCACAGCCTATGGCAGTCCTGTAGGAGGGTCAGGGCCTTGACGAATAACTGAAGTGGTAGGTCTGAGCTGCGCCAGTGAATGCTGGCCGTGCCTCCCTGTGCCAGGGCTCCTCTGCCTCTGAGAATGGGTCCAGTGTCAGCGTGTGGGGGGAATAGGCCAGTCCGGTCCCTGTCTCACAATGCAGGACCCTGAGGCCGGGGAAGGGACAGAAAGAGCGAGGAGCAGGAATGTACCGGCATTGATCCCATGGGAGTACCCATGCTCCAGAGAAGTTGGGGGCGAAGATGAGGGTGAGGATGCAGTGGGGGACACAGCTCTATCAGCCAGGCAGGACAGACAAGAAAACCCCGGAAGAGGGACCAGCAGAGGCAGTTAATGGTCAGCCCAAGGAGTGTATAGAAGGGCCCACACGTGGGTGAGGCCCCCCTCTCTGGATTCCACAACCCCTTCACCTGGGCCAGCCGTGTGTTGGCCAGAGGAAGGATCTCTGGGATGGGGGTGGGCAGGCTACGCAAGGGCCCAGAGCTTTTAGTCTGGGATTGAATCATGCCTTTGCCATGCACCGTTTGGGTGCCCTTGAGATCCTGGAAAATGGGGCAATGCATGTTCCCCTGACAGAGTTGCATGGCATGCGTTCCTCTAGGGAGAGAGCCGGGGACAGCAGGGACTTCCTGGCAGCCAATGGCAGTTCCCTTCTCCTCGGAAGAGTTCCAAGTTACAAGATGTTATACGCCTCCTTTTTGCGTGGGATCGTCCAGAGCTCCAGCCTGCAGCAGGCAGTCACGTAGATGAAATGGAGGCGCCGAAAGTCCCGGGCTGGCCCATCCCTCTGGTGCCTTATCCCCAACCCTGCGCAGTCTTTGGGGAGCAAGCCCCTGCGCGGCTTACGGGGCTCCGGGCTCCGAGGGCGCCCCATCACAGGGAGAGCCCCGGACCAAGTGGTTCACAGGGCGCTCCGCCCCGGGAGAGGCCGCGGGGGCGAGGCTGGCGTGCAGAGCGAGTGGCCGCCCCCAGGGGCCGTGCGCACGGAGGCAGGGCCCGGGGCGGGGAGCCCGCGCAGCCCCAGGATGATTTGTCATTGCCTAATGAGATTAATAAGCCCGGGGGGGCTGGTATGCAGGGGGGGATGGGGTGCTCATTAGAAGCAGATGGTCATGGGAATGGTGGCAAGTGGGGTCTGGGGGTGGAGCGCCACTCACCCGCCAGGTGGTTTCCATTAATCTGGAGGCGGGGCCGGGGCTCTCCCTTCCCGCCCCCCCCCCCATTCCCACCCTCCCTCCTCCATTCCCCCCACTAGGGGAGGAATGCGGCGGAGAGCTGCCCTAGGCTCAGGCTAATGGGTTCAGGGACAGCCCGCCCTGCTTGTTGTTACAGCTCCATGTCTGGCACAGGGTATGTGCTCAATAAATACCTGCTGGATGATATCAGAGATGAGAGGGGCCTGGGGCTTGGGGGTGGGAGGGAGGCTAGGACCACCTTGGCTTTCCTCCAGGCCCCCAGAACCTCTCTCTCCCCCACGCCCCCCAAACAGCCCCCCTACCTACGGGGGTGTTTTAGCTCCCTTCTCAGCCAGGCCCGCTTTCTAGTGAACCCTGCAAGGCCTGGAGGGCTCCGGGGAGGAAAGCTGCTCTGCAACCTCCGAACCAATCATTTGGTTTTCAAACCCACAAGCAAGGGAAGTCTGCAGGGACCAGAGGGAGCCAACTTGGCCGCCCCACCCTGTCCAAACGTGGTGCGCGCACTCACACACGTACTTAACATACAAACATGCACACGCACGCTGTTGAACAAATTCACGCTCAGTCTCTTTTGACAGTTTCAGTGAGATATAATTTACATACCATAAAGTTTGTCCCGTTGAAGCATTCCATCCAATGGTTTTTAGTAATATTTACAGTTGTGCAATCATCATCATAGTCTAATTTTAGAACATTTTCATCATCCCCAAACCTTGAATCATTAGCAGTCCCTCCCTATTTCCCAGCCCTAAGCAACCACTAATCTACTTTCTGTCTCTGCAGATTTGCCTGTTCTGGACATTTCATATAAAGGGATTAGGTGGTCTTTTGTAACTGGGTTTTTTTCACTTCACATCATGTGTTCAAGGCTCATTCATACGATAGCATGTATTAGCATTTTATTCCTTTTTATGATCGAATAATATTTGTGTGCCTGTAGCACACTTTTGTTTATCAGTTGAGGGACATTTAAGGTTTTTCCACTTCTGGGCTTATTGTGAATAATGCTATTAGGAACATTCCTGTCCAGGTTTTGTATGTTCACTTCTCTGGAATATCCACCTAGGAATGGAATTGGCTGGGTCACATGGTTACTCTAACTGTCATACTGTTTTCCAAAGTGGCTGCACCATTTCAACTCCTAGCAATAATGTACAAAGGCTCCAGTCTTTCCACATTTTCATCACCACTTGCAGTTGTCTGTCTTTTTAAAAATATATTTTTATTTATTTCGGAGAGGAAGGGAGAAGGAGAGAAAGAAACATCGGTGATGAGAATCATTGATCAGCCTCCGCCTGCATGTTCCCTACTGGGGATCAAGCCCACAACCCAGGCATGTGTCCTGATAGGAAATTGAACCATGACCTCCTAGTTCATAGTTTGACACTCAACCACTGGGACGCTCTGGCCAGGCTTGTCTGTCTTTTTTATTGGATGTGAAGTGGCATCTCATTGTGGTTTTGATTTGCATTTCCCTAATGACTAACAGTGTTGAGCACCTTTGCATGCATTAATTGGTCATTTGTAAATCATCTTTGAAGAAATGTCTATTCAAATCCTTTGCTCATTTTTTTCATCTGGGTTGTCATTTATAACTGAGCTGTAAGAGTTCTTTATAAATTCTGGATAGAAATGCCTTATCAAGCATATGATTTATGGAAATATTTTCTCTCATTCCATAGGTCGTCTTTCACTTTATTTTTTAAAATATATTTTTTATTGATTTCAGAGAGGAAGAGAGAGGGGGAGAGAACTAGAAACATCAATGATGAGAGAGCATTATTGATCAGCTGCCTCCTGCACGCCCCCTACTGGGGATTGAGTCCGCATGTGCCCTTCAGAATAGAACCTGGGACCCTCAGTCCACAGGTTGGCACTCTATTCACTGAGCCAAACCAGCGAGGGCACCTTTTACTTTCTTAATTGTGTCCTTTAAAGAGCAAACGTTTTATTTTTTATTAAATCCAACCTATCCATCTGCTGTTTTGTTGCTTGTGCTCACGCACGAACTCTTACACACTTAGCTTCCTGAGTTTCTATTTTCCCCAGAAGGGTACAGGATATGATTTGCTCCCAGAAATGCCCCCTCACACACACACACACATACACTTTTGCCATGGGTGGGAGTGTCCTACTAATCCGTATTGACATAGATACAGGGAGAGGAGTATGCTGAGTCAAGGGAGCCTGGTCTGGATTGGGCAAGTGGTTTGGGGGAGGGGAGGCTCCATCTGCTCCCTGCACCTCCTCCAGGTTCCAAGACCACAGCTCTGTGGAAGCAGAGGGCAGAGAGGGACAGGAGATGCCACATCACAGAAACATCTGTGCATCCTCATGACCTCATCTAAGAAATGAAGGGATCAGAGTAGGCAAACCCAGATCAGGGGTTCCTCACAGCCCCTAAAATCATATGCACAATGTTGGGTGTATGCATTTTTCTGGGGTGGGAGTCCATAGCCGTCACCAAATTTTCAAAAGGATGTGCTTAGCAATTATGGTGCAAATCCACGGACCTACGAGGGCCTCATAGATCTGAAGAAATAACCCAAGTTCTATTGTATTGGCCCTTCCTGCTGCTGAAAGGGCACCGCCCCCCGGAGTTGCTTAGGGACCAGGGACCAGATCCCCTGGGGCTGTCAGAGCTCAGCCCAGGTCTCTCTCTTCAGGAGAGGACCCAGGACTACTGGTCTGGGTGAGCAGGCCAGCTACCAAGGGGCTGCCTTGGTCGCCCAGGAAGCCACTCTTTAGGTGGGAGGCAAGCGGGAAGGAGCGCCAACACTTGGTGGAAGCGCCCCTTTCGGTAGCCCGGCATGGCTGGGCTGTAGGAAGTCCCGGGCAGGAAAGCACTGGGCCCGGCAGCCGCCTTGCTCCCATCTGCAGAGCATCAGCAGGGCAGGCTCTCGAGGAGAGGAGGGCCAGAGGAAATGAGAATAAACACAAGCGAGCTGGAGGGAAGGAGCGGGGGGCTGCAGCCTCAGCCCCTTGGCAGCCCATGAAGGGAAGTGACACAATGAGGAATGTGTTTCCCTCTGCCGGCCCCCGCACGGGGGTGGGGTACAGAGCCCTGAGAATGGCCAGACCCCAACAGGGGCCAGGGGGCACAGGCTGGACTAGCATCGGAGGGAGGCGGGGTGGGGGTGAGGGTGTGGGTCTGGGCAGCAAAAGGGGGCTGATAGGTAGGAAGGACAGCCCTGGGTCCTCTCCGGTTCCTGCTCTGCAGGCTGTCCCAGGGTCTGCGTGCTTGCACGTTCCTTGAGTGCCGGCCTGGGGCACCTCCCAGCACGCCTGCGTATGGAAGCCATCCCGCTGGGAAGCTGACCCCTTCTGGTGGCTTTCCCTTCTTTCCCAAGGGACTTGGGGTTATGGAGGCTGGCTGAGCTCTTGGTATGAGAGGAAGCTGAGGTATGAGGACCCCTGGCCATGATGTTTCATATGTCTCTCTCTCTCTCTCTCTCTCTCTCTCTCTCTCTCTCTCTCTCTGTGTGTGTGTGTGTGTGTGTGTGTGTGTGTGTGTGTATGTGTGCTTATGTCCCCAACTCAGACTGTCAGTGCGAAAACAGGCCCCCTGGTGGGAGGGCACCTCCCCATCCTGGACACCCATTTCCTCTCCTCCCAGCAGGGAGCTGGCTCAGTTAACCCCCTCCTGCCCGCAGTCCAGAGCTGTCCCTGAGGCTTTGGCAGGCTATCCTGTCCCACATTCTGGGCTGGAGAGTGGCAGGGGCTCCACCATCTTCCATCCCGGCTGTGCCCTAAGTGGCACTTCCCTTGCCACCTTCTCTCAGCTCCTCAGAGAAACCCTGGGGGGAAGTGGGCACAGGACTGAGCAAGCCTCCGCTCTGAAGGGCCAGGCCAGGTGATTTATAGCCCTGCCTCGGAGCCCAGGACCCTGAGACCAGGTCAGCATCCATGCAGTCATCAATCCGCTGCCTGTCCTATTTCACCTATTTCCTCACTTGTCAGCTGGAGAGATTCAGAAGGGTAGCCATAAAATACCTCCTGACAGCCAGGCGAAGGGAGATTTCATCTTTGTAGACCAATTTGCAAAAGACTGTCACACCCATTTTGAAATGATTCTCACAGCCGCCCCATGAGGTACTCAGGGCAGCTCAGAGGTGGAACCAAGGCCTCCCAACTCGGAGCCCAGCGCCTGTACCTCTTGTTCACATGCTCTGCTTCCCCGCTTCCTCCTCTGAGGCCCTGTTATCCCTTCTCCCGGCATCTACACCCTCGCTCCTCTTCCCAACCAAGTACCCCTGGTGCCAGGCAGGAGGCCGCAGAGGCCTGTGTGAGGGGCAGGGCCTTCATCCAGCTTCCCCATCAGTACTGAGGAGTGCCGGGACTTAGGAGGAAACTGAGTCCGGACACTTCCTGTGACAGGGAGGCTTCCAGGCCCCAGGGGAGCGAAGGGGGAGGGGGTTTGGGAAGAGGCAGAGAGGGACGAGGCCTCCCCACTTTCCTTCCACAGGGACCTGAGGAACAATGTCATCAGCACTGTGCAGCCCGGTGCCTTCCTGGGCCTGGGGGAGCTGAGGCGCTTGTAAGTGGCATGTCCTGGCCCCAAACCACCCAGCCCTCCCATGACCCCTGCAGAGACGGTCCCAGGGATCCCGTGAGCCACACCCCTCCTCCTCACCCACCATCCCTGCTTCTCACCCACCCCTAGTGGCCCCCTCCCCACACAGCATGCTGGGGGGGGCAGACATTCGAACCCCCAACCTCATCTCCTAATTCACACTGCTCCCACACAAGCCACATTGGTATGTCCCTCCCAAGCGGCTCTGGGTGCAGCCATGTGGCCTGCTGAGGTTGTGTGTGTGTCTTTCTAGAGATCTCTCCAACAACCGGATTGGCTGTCTCACCTCTGAGACTTTCCAAGGCCTCCCCAGGCTTCTCCGACTGTGAGTGAGGGGCGAGGGGAGAGGGGAGGCTCACCCCAAAGGACGGTTTGGGAGGAGGAAGGCAGCTCCAAACCCCTACAGGTCCCTGCGTGCGCTTCACCCCCTCCCCCTTCCCCCTCTGGCGCCAGGAGACCCTCAGGTCGGCTCACTGCTCCCTGTCCCCTGCAGAAACATTTCTGGAAACATCTTCTCTAGCCTGCAGCCTGGGGTCTTTGATGAGCTGCCAGCCCTTAAGCTTGTGTGAGTATCTTTTCCCAGGACTCGGACCCCCGCTTCATTCCTCTGCCCTGGAGGGAGACCCCTAGGCATCAGACCACAGTGGCCAGCCTCATGAGTAGGCAGGAAGACAGCGGTTGAGACACCACCATATTTGCCTTCCCATGATTGCTGGGCCGGTGCACAAGTCCCCACGTTGGCCCTCTCCAGCTCAGTCCCTTCCTGGGGCTCCATCCAGTGGGCAGAGGGCATGGAGTGGAGCCCACACGCCTCTGCTCCACTCCGTGCCCTCTGCCTGCTCTGCAGGGACCTCGGCACCGAGTTCCTGACCTGCGACTGCCGCCTGCGCTGGCTGCCGTCCTGGGCCCGCAATCACTCCCTGCAGCTGTCTGAGCGCACGCTCTGCGCCTACCCCAGCGCCCTCCACGCCCAGGCCCTGGGCGGCCTGCAGGAGGCCCAGCTGCGCTGCGGTGAGCAAACCCTCACCCGGCTCACCTGCCTGGGACCCTGCCCACCCTCAGGCCCAGGCTCCCTCCTGAAGGACCTGGCCCTCAGCATGAAGTGTTTGCTCCTGGGTGGTGGGCAGGCTCTCTCGGGCATCCTCTCCCTCCGATCCCGCTGGGGTCGCCTTCCATCAGCTTCTCTCAACTTCCCTCGGGTCTGCTGCTCTATGTTTTCATCTGGGGTGACGTGTGCTGCGGAAACGAGAACTTTTACTAGTTTGTTCTAAACCCTCCTGCCCCTCGCCTGTGCTCCTGCCCCTGGAGGCCTCCTCCTACCCCCTCCTCCTCCCCCCAGGAGACCCCCCCCTCCCTGACTCTCCCACACTGTGCACTCAGGCCCCCCACCGCTCTCTCTCTCCCACAGAGGGGGCTCTGGAGCTACACACGCACTACCTCATCCCGTCCCGACGCCAAGTGGTGTTCCAGGGTGACCGCCTGCCCTTCCAGTGCTCCGCCAGCTACCTGGGCAACGACACCCGCATCCGCTGGTACCACAACCGGGCCCCCGTGGACAGCGACGAGCAGGCGGGCATCCTCCTGGCCGAGAGCCTCATCCACGACTGCACCATCATCACCAGGTACAGGCCCCCTGTCTCACCCCCCAGAGAGCCGTGCCCACCACGTTCCTGGGGTGTGCCGCCTGTGTCAGTGTATGTTCACGGAAGGCCAGGGCTACGTCAGTGGTCCAGATAAGGGATAGAAATTAACTGCCTAATAGGGAAAATGATTACATCTGACATTTCTTTAGAGCAGTGTTTCCCAAACTTCTCTCATGATGAGAATCATCTGGTGGAGTTGGTAAACTACAGACTCCTGAATCCCAACTAAGAAGTGCTAAACTAAAATTTTTGGGAACATGTAGGTAAAATTGTGTACTTAACCAGTGCTCTAAGCGAGTTAAGTATACTCAAAAACAAAAATATAGTGCTTAGCCGAGACCGGTTTGGCTCAATGGATAGAGCATCGGCTTGGGGACTGAAGGGTCCCAGGTTCGATTCTGGTCAAGGGCACGTACCTTGGTTGCGGGCATATCCCCGGTGGGGGGTGTGCAAGAGGCAGCTGATCGATGACTCTCTCTCATCGATGTTTCTGACTATCTCTCTCCCTTCATCTCTGTACAAAATCAATAAAATATATTTTTTAAAAATAAAAAATAAAATAAAATAAAATATAGTGCTTAGAGCACTAGTTAAGTATACAATTTTTACCTCTATGTTCCCAAAAATTCTAGTTTAGCACTTCTTAGTTGGGATTCAGGAGTCTGTAGTTTACCAACTCCACCAGGTGATTCTCATCATGAGAGAAGTTTGGGAAACACTGCAAGTTTATAGCTTTTACGAAGTATGCTATAATGACTGTCACCTGTGTTATCAGACTCACTTTCTCCAATCGACTTGTAAGACAGCTATTAACTCCACGATAAAGATGGGGAAAGCGAAGCTCAGAAAAGCATTGATTGTCACAGGCCAATCACAATGAAAGGAGCATGTCCTTGCATCCCTCACTCCGCTGAAGAATAAACAACCTGAAGCTCATCCTACACCCTCTGGGGCAGGGCGCCTGTGGGTGGCCAGGCCAGGGGCGTTCAGGGGGCTGGCATGGCCCCTGAGTACCTCACCAAGCCAGCCCTGCCCCCCTGTTTGCAGCGAACTGACCCTGTCTCACATCGGCGTGGGCGCCTCTGGCGAGTGGGAGTGCTCCGTGTCCACCGTCCAGGGCAACGCCAGCAAGAAGGTGGAGATCGTGGTGCTGGAGATCTCCGCCTCCTACTGCCCGGCTGAACGTGTCGCCAACAACCGAGGGGACTTCAGGTTCGGTGTGCTCAGCTGCCCCAGAGACCCAACAGCTTCCGGCCCAGCCCCCCCTCCCCCCGTCCCACCCCCAACTCCTGCATCTGAGACCACAGGTGGCCAGGGTCTCCCAGTGACTTCGAGTTGGAGAAAACACTCCCTTGAGTCATTCAGCTCCAAGTCCTGCTGTTGTATTCAGAGACCTCCTCTTTTGATTATAACCATCTGACATGTGTGGTGCAGAACAGAAAGGTTTTTATGTGCTATTAATTTCCATTAATAGTTTACAAAGCTCACCAACTTGAATATCACATTTTTAAAAAATATATATTTTATTGATATTTTACAGAGAGGAAGGGAGAGGGATAGAGAGTTAGAAACATCGATGAGAGAGAAACATCGATCAGCTGCCTCCTGCACACACCCTACTAGGGATGTGCCCACAACCAAGATACATGCCCTTGACCGGAATCGAACCCAGGACCTTTAGGTCTGCAGGCCGATGCTCTATCCACTGAGCCAAACCGGTTTCAGCTGAATATCACATTTAATATCCCAATGAGTCTCTCAGGAAGGAGATATGAATCTCCCCATTGTACAGCTGAGAATACTGAGGCCCAGAAAGGGTCAGTGACTTGAACTCAGGACTCAAGTCCAGCCTCCATAGCACCAACCGCAGCACTAACAGTACACATACAGTTAGAAAGTGGGGCTTGGGGACCCCTTGAAGGCCAGCCCAAACCACTCTTCTGGATCCTTTCCTCAAAGGTTCTGGCATCATAGTTCTAATGGGAGGGGAGGGGATGGAGCCCTTGCCTTGAGGGGCCTGGGTCATTGGCAATCCCTGCCTCTGCCCCCAGGTGGCCTCGAACTCTGGCTGGCATCACAGCCTACCAATCCTGCCTGCAGTATCCCTTCACCTCGGTGCCTCTGAGCGGGGGCACTCCGGGCACCCAGGCCTCCCGCCTGTGTGACCGCGCTGGCCGCTGGGAGCCAGGGGACTACTCCCACTGCCTGTACACCAACGACATTACCCGGGTGCTTTACACCTTCGTGCTGGTGAGGCCAGGGCAGGGGGTGGTGGGCACCCCGTCAGCTCTAGTTTCAGGGGCTGGGCAGGGAGAGACCTCCCAACTGCTCCTCTCCTCCCTGGATGTGCACCATGAGGGGCTCCTGCTCTCCAGCTCTCCTTCTCCCCGGGGGATGCAGACCCCCAAGGCCACACTCAGAAAGTGCAAGCCACCCCAGCATCTTCATCCCCTAACCCAGCAAGGGCAGCCTTAACGGGGGGCAGAAAGGACAGCATGAGCCAGCCACTGTGCCTCAGCCAGTGGCCTAGAAGTGGGCTGCCTGCTATCTTGATTAGACCCTCTCCCCAGGCACTGCCCTGAGCATTAGCACAGAGGAGGGGCCCCTGGTGGCAATTCTGGAGAAGACGGAGAAAGACTGGACTACCCGCTCTCTTTCCCTCACCCGCCTAGATGCCCATCAACGCCTCCAATGCGCTGACCCTGGCCCACCAGCTGCGCGTGTACACAGCCGAGGCTGCCAGCTTCTCAGACATGATGGATGTAGTCTACGTGGCTCAGATGATCCAGAAGTTTTTGGGTTACGTGGACCAGATCAAAGAGGTGAGATTCAACCAGGCCTCTACAAACCTTCCTGCTCCCCATTTGAGGCTCAATCCTCTCACTCCCCAGCCCCTGGGTACCAGGCCCCACCCGTGTCTCAGTGACTCTTTCCCCCTCTCCCCCACAGCTGGTGGAGGTCATGGTGGACATGGCACCCCTGGGTACCAAGCCCCACCCGTGTCTCAGCGACTCTTTCCCCCTCTCCCCCACAGCTGGTGGAGGTCATGATGGACATGGAGCCCCTGGGTACCAGGCCCCACCCGTGTCTCAGCGACTCTTTCCCCCTCTCCCCCACAGCTGGTGGAGGTCATGGTGGACATGGCCAGCAACCTGATGCTGGTAGACGAGCACCTGCTGTGGCTGGCCCAGCGAGAGGACAAGGCCTGCAGCGGCGTCGTGGGTGCCCTGGAGCGCATTGGGGGGGCCATCTTGAGCCCCCATGCCCAGCACATCTCTGTGGTAATGTGGGTCAGCCAGGACGGGACTTCGGGGGGCCGACACTAGGAGGGAACTTAGAGTCAGTCACCCAGAAGGGAAAGCAAGCACTCTCAGGCAGCTTCTCTCGGGCAGCAAGCACTCCCTCCGTGCACCTGCCGTGAGCACCGGACGTGACTAGATTCCTAGTCGTGTGGCCTCAGATCCCGAGTCATCAGGGGCAGTGAAAGAGAGGGAGGCCAGGGACACGGGGAAGTCACGCTTGGTGTTGTGGGGAACCAAGTTGCCTGGCGGGGGAGGGGGGAGAGAGGATAGCACTGTGATGGGGTGTAGAGTAATGGAGACTTGTGTCCCCTGAGGCCAGGATCGGTGGGTCGTGAGCCAATCAGCAACCACGGCAGAGCACCTACTACCTGAGAGATATTGTGCTGGAACCTTGGGAGATGCAGGCGGTCAAACAGGCCGCTCTGCGGCTTCGTTAGGGAGGCAGAACAAGCCCGAGTTAAGAGGGGAGCAAGATTCAAGGTGGGGTGTGGATGAGTGGGGGGATGAGTGGGGGTCTTCCCCATGCCAGGGACTGGGGGAGACCCATGGCGAAGCCTGGAGAAGACAGTGAGGAGAGAGGGACAGGGGGGCCTGAGCAGACAGGGACTGTGCCGTCTCAGGCAAGGGAAGGCCAAACCATACCTCTGAGGGTTGGGTGACAAGTTCCCTGTCCCTAGAACTCGAGGAACGTGGCGTTGGAGGCCTACCTCATCAAGCCGCACAGCTACGTGGGCCTGACCTGCACGGCCTTCCAGCGGAGGGAGGCCGGTGTGCCCGGCCCCCGGCCCACAGGCCTGGGCCAGAACCCGTCTCCCGAGCTGGAGCCCCTGGCTGATCAGCAGCTCCGCTTCCGCTGTACCACCGGGAGGCCCAACGTTTCTCTGTCGTCCTTCCACATCAAGGTGGGCGCAGGGGCGGGGAGGATGCTAAAAGGGGAGGTGCCCAGAGGCGGGTGCCTGGTGAGGGTAGAAGACCTGAGAGGAGACAGGACCCAGAACAGGGGTAGGGGAGGCAGAAGAAGGGGTTGGAAGACATCAGAGTCCCAGGGGATCTTGTTGTGTCTCTGAAGAACCCCTGTGTCCCCCCCAGAACAGCGTTGCCCTGGCCTCCATCCAGCTGCCGCCCAGCCTCTTCTCATCCCTCCCGGCCTCCCTGGCGCCCCCAGTCTCCCCAGACTGCACCCTGCAACTGCTCGTCTTCAGAAACGGCCGCCTCTTCCGCAGCCACGGCAACACCTCCCGCCCCGGGGCTGTGGGGCCCGGCAAGAGGCGTGGCGTGGGCACCCCTGTCATCTTCGCAGGAACAAGTAAGGGGATGAACCCTGGGTACCAGGTGCCCAATGGGACCCCTCCTAAATGTCTGCCCTGTGCCCCTTCATCCTGCTCTTCCTCACCAACCAGCGCCCCCTAACCTCTTGGTGGAGGTGGCCGAGAATGGCGGACCCCTCACCATTTCCAAGGAGGATGGGTGGGGGACACAGACATCCCATAAAGAAAGGGGTTGGTGGGGAAAAGGTTCAGGAAGACACCGGACTTTATATCCCAGATGTGTCAACTTTCAAAAGGGCTATAAGTACAAACCTTTGACCCACCCAGACCTCCCTCCATCCCACCTTCCTAACCTGGCACCAACTCTCCCAATCAGGGTGGCCCTCCTCAGTCTCCTCTTTGCCTGGGCTTTCGCTCCCTCAGCATGACCTCCTGACCCCAGCCCTGGACGCCTCTCTTTTAGAGTATGTCACCCCCGCACGTTTGGCGCTCAGAGTGGGCCACGGCCCAGTGCTTTTATTTATTTTTTTAATTTAACTTTTTAAATATATTTTATTGATTTTCCACAGAGAGAAAGGGAGAGGGATAGAGAGCTAGAAACATCGATGAGAGAGAAACATCGACCAGCTGCCGCCTGCACACCCCCTACCGGGGATGTACCCGCAACCAATGTATGATACATGCCCTTGACCGGAATCAAACCTGGGACCTTTCAGTCCTCAGACCGACGCTCTATCCACTGAGCCAAACCGGTTTTGGCCCAGTGCTTTTACTTTAAAATAAATTTTTTTCAGTCCTCCTCCAAGGATATGTTATTTTTTATTGATTTTAGAGGAAGGGACACATACCCCCCCCCCCCACACACACACATACACACACATAATCTTGATTGGGTGCCTCCTGCAGGTGCCCCAACTGAGATGGAACTTGAAATCTGGGTGTGTGCCCTGACTGGGAATCAAACCCCCACTTTTTGGTGTACAGGACAACACCCAACCAACTGAACCCAGGGCCCAGTGCTTTCATGTTGACTCACCCTGGTGTCTCCCCAGTGAGACTGAGGCCCGGGAAGCAGGCCCACATCTAACTGTACCCACCAAGCCCAGCGCTCTCCCAGCCCATGGTGTTCTGCTGCTGCTTGGTTCCACTCACCCAGCCAGCCAGCCCCACCCCCACCCCCACTCCCGTGGCCTTGTGTGTGCCTGTGTGGACTTCCTTCCCCCCATAGGTGGCTGTGGCGTGGGAAACCTGACGGAGCCAGTGGCCATTTCCTTACGGCACTGGGCTGAGGGGGCCGAGCCGGTGGCAGCCTGGTGGAGCCAGGAAGGGCCGGCCGGTGCTGGGGGCTGGAGCTCCGAGGGCTGCCAGCTCCGCTCCAGCCAGCCTAACGTCAGCTCCCTGCACTGCCAGCACCTGGGCAACGTGGCCGTGCTCATGGTGAGTGAAGCAGGACTCAGGGGAGAGGGCCAGGGCACAAGGGAGGTGTGTGAGGTGGAGGTGGGGCTCTCTCATCACTCAAGGCCACAGAGAAATCAAGGACAGCAGCCTTGTCAGGCCTCAAAACTGTCAGGACTCGGGGAGATGTCCCTCTGTTCTCCCACACACACACTTTTCATCTTCAGGAGACAGGAGGTCCCGCTCCCCCTCCCAGAATGAGAGAGGGGGAACTGGCACTACCCAGTCTGGTCTTCTGAGACCCAGCCTGCACTCCCTGAGATCCAGGTTATTAAAGTGTGTGTGGGGAGGGGGGTGGGCGCGATCCTGGGAACATTTCTCCTTTCTGATCACCCTCTTCACTCACCCCTATTGGTTCCCCCTGCCTCCCCACATTTCACACCCTGAGCAGGCACGCAGCTGTATTATAGACAGACTTTCCCCTCTCTCCTCATCTCCAGTTTCCAGGCTGGGGACCTGGAAAATTCCTAGAAAGGCAGGCAGTAGGCCATGAATGCTACATAGGCCAACTTTCTAAGAGTGGATATCATGGTACCTATACCTTTGTCTACGCAGATGGACTAAGCAGAGGATCAAACCGGGCTGGGGAAGCGGAAAACTGGCCTGGGGACTGGTCGGGACTCCATGAGACAGCCCTCACCCCTGGCTTCCTAATACACACTTCCCCTTTCTTACTCTTTCCAGGAGCTGAGTGCCTTCCCCAGGGAGGTGGGGGCCTCGGGGGCAGGGCTGCATCCTGTCGTGTACCCCTGCACCGCCCTGCTGCTGCTCTGCCTCTTCTCTACCATCATCACCTACATCCTCAACCACAGGTGGGAGCTGCTTCAGGAAAGAGGGGTGGTGGGAAGGTTTGGAGGGGAGGGGGGGGCGTTTCACTAAGGACTGGCAAGTGTTCCTTTCCCAGGTAGGTCCACAGGACTTTTCTAGGCTCTTGCCTAGCATTGTGTTTGAAGGTTCTGGGGTTGGAAAACACATTTGGTGGGTTAAGACCTGCCTTCCCTGGCATCTCTGTCACATCCACACATATGCATGCACACAGATATCTGCCCTCCCCTCCGCCCCCCGCCTCTGGGTCCTTCCCCATGGCCATGAGACCCCAGGGGCCTGACCTTGGGCTGGGTGGCCCATTAATTGCTGTTTCTGGGGCAGCTCCATCCATGTGTCCCGGAAGGGCTGGCACATGCTGCTGAACCTGTGCTTCCACATGGCCATGACCTCCGCCGTCTTTGCAGGAGGCATCACACTCACCAACTACCAGATGGTCTGCCAGGCGGTAAGAGGAGAAGGGGCGGGGGGGGGGGGGGCGCGGTTGGGGAGCTCCAAGATCAGCTGTGGCAGCCTAGGCAGGAGAGAGGGGCAGGGGAAGGAAAAGGGGGCTCGTGCTAATGGGCCCCAGCTCCTTTGTCTTCTCTGTGTCCAGTCTTACTTGTCAGGAGAGAGGATCAAGGTAAGAAGCAAGAAGCAGGAAAACTATAATAGGAAGAGGGGCTTCAAAGTGGAGAGCGGGAACCTGTGGTGGAGGAGAAGTCAGGGACGAAGCAGATAGCAATAACTAAGTCATGGAGTCACCAGAGAGGGGGGGGGGGGTGCAGTCTGGATGGGAGTAGAGAGGGAAATAGCAGGGACAGACCCGGGGGTGGGGGTCTGGGGGGAGTTGGGAACATGGAGGAGTGGGAGTACACTGTGGGGCAGAGGCTCCGGCAGGGCCCCAGTGGAAGCAGCCCGGTCCCCGGCTGTGGTAGCAATCCCAGCCTCAGCACCTTGATCCCGCAGGTGGGCATCACTCTGCACTACTCCTCCCTGTCCACCCTGCTCTGGATGGGCGTGAAGGCCCGCGTCCTCCACAAGGAGCTCACCTGGAGGGCGCCCCCTCCCCAGGAAGGGGACTCTGCCCCGCCTGCTCCCCGTCCCATGCTCCGGTACATGCTTCCAGATACCAGCTTTGCAGGGGGAAGGGCTCAGAGGGGCGGGGGTTGGGGGGGGGGGGTGGCCTAGGAAACCAAATCAACTCTCCCCGGGTGGATGCAGGGAGGGTCCAAGGTCCCAGGAGACCACTGTCCAACGACAGAAGAGGCAAGGATCTAGGTGGTGCCCGGTTGCTGAAGGTCATGTAGTGGGCACTGAGCAGGCAACCTGGAAACCCTCAAATTCTGGGTGAGAGAGAGGTCTGGCCTCTGTCCCTTAGGACAGACAGTCTTGGCCAAGTCCCCTGGGGATCTACCAAGCCTGCCTTGTAAGCGCCTTGCATCCATGGCAAAAAAAAAATTCCGACAGAATTTAAAAGGAAAAGAAGATGGGATGGAAACCGCGAGTCAAGGGCTCTGAGCACCTGGTTCCTCGTCTCTCTGACTCTCCAAACCCATTCCTTTCCAGGTTCTATTTGATCGCCGGAGGGATCCCTCTCATTATCTGTGGCATCACAGCTGCTGTCAACATCCACAACTACCGGGACCACAGCCCCTAGTGAGCACTCTGCCTGCCTGCCTGCCCCAAACCACCCCACCCCAGCACCAGATGCCTTCTACTGCACTGCAGGGGCACCTGCCCGGCTCACTCAGCCAGGGACCCCGCCCAAGCCCATGCATGTTGACCAAGCCAGCCTCTGCCTGTCATCTCACTGCATCTCTGTCCCCAACCACCCAGCCTCTGGACCCCGCCTCAGACTTGCTCCCCTCCTCATCCGCTGCCTGTGTCTCCCCCTCAGCTGCTGGCTGGTGTGGCGTCCGAGCTTAGGAGCCTTCTACATCCCGGTGGCTTTGATTCTGCTGATCACCTGGATCTATTTCCTGTGTGCGGGACTGCGCCTGAGGGGTCCCCTGGCACAGAGCCCCAAGGGGGTCGCAAGCAGGGCCTCCCTGGACCAAGGGGAGGAGCTGAGGGGTCCCACCAGGCTCAGGAGCAGCGGGCCCCTCCTGAGTGACTCGGGGTCCCTTCTGGCCGCAGGGAGCGCGGGGGTGGCGACGCCTGGGCCCCCGGAGGATGGGGACGGCCTCTATTCCCCGGGCGTCCAGCTGGGCGCGCTGGTGACCACGCACTTCCTGTACCTGGCCATGTGGGCCTGCGGGGCGCTGGCCGTGTCGCAGCGCTGGCTGCCCTGCGTGGTGTGCAGCTGCCTGTACGGGGCGGCGGCCTCGGCCCTGGGCCTCTTCGTCTTCGCCCACCACTGCGCCCGGCGCAGGGACGTCCGGGCGTCCTGGCGCGCCTGCTGCCCCCCGGCCCCGGCCCCGCGCGCCTCCCCCCAGGCCGTGCCCGCGGCCCCCGAGGACGGCTCCCCCGTGTTCGGGGAGGGGCCCCCTTCCCTGAAGTCGTCCCCGAGCGGCAGCAGCGGCCACGCGCCGCCGCCCCCGGGGCCCTGCAAGCTCACCAACCTGCAGCTGGCCCAGAGCCAGGCCTGCGAGGCGGGGGCGGCCCGCGGGGAGGGGGAGCCGGAGCCCGCGGGCGCCCGCGGCGGCCTGGCCCCCCGGCACCCCAACAACCTGCCCCACGGGCGCCGCGCGCACAAGAGCCGGGCCAAGGGGCACCGGGCCGGGGAGGCGGGCGGCAAGAACCGGCTCCGGGCGCTGCGCGGGGGCGCGGCGGCGGCGGCGGCCGGGGCCGGGGCGGCGGAGCTGCCGTCCAGCGAGAGCGGCAGCCTGCACACCAGCCCGTCCGACAGCCGCCCGGGCAGCAGCCGCCACAGCCCGGCCGCCGGCGCCGCGCCCGAGGGCGAGCCCGCGCTCACGCCGTCCGACGGCGGCAGCGACACGAGCGCCGCGCCCGCCCCGGAGGCAGCCCGGCCGGGCCAGCGCCGCAGCGCCAGCCGCGACAGCCTCCGGGGCGCGGCGCCCGACAAGGAGAGCAAGCGCCGCTCCTACCCGCTCCACGCCGCCAGCCTCAACGGCGCCCCCCGGGGCGGCAAGTTCGAGGACGCCACCACCCCGACAGGCGCCGAGGCGGCAGGGGGCGGCTGCATGAAGACGGGCCTCTGGAAGAGCGAGACCACCGTCTAGGGGGACGAGGGGCACTTTAGGGCAGGCTGGCCCCGCGCGGACTTGTCCCCCTGGCTTCGCGGGGAGGCCCCCCCAAGGATGTCTATGGGCACCCCGTAGGTGAGGGCTGCGCCTGAGCCCGCTAGCCTCAGTCCCAGGCTGGGGAAAGGACGGGCGGACGCCTGCGCTGCTAAGAGGGCCGCCCTCCCTCGGGGGTAGCGACAGACAATCCCAGGGCCGCTGGCAGGACCCATGTCTGCCCAGGCCAGCCTGTGCCGTTCAGGGTCAGGAAGGTCCTGTCAGTCTGTGGATTGCTGAGTGCTGGATGGGCCAGCAAGCCCAGGTGGGCTCTTCCTATGGTGCCCCCCGCATGTTGCCCACCCGCCTCTCTGGAGGTGTCGGCCCCTCCTGGAAAACTCGGGGTTGGGCGGGGGGGGGGGGGGGGGGGGGCTTGGGAACAAAGTTCCCTCACCGCCCTCCTCTGAAGCCGGCCTCTGTGCCTAGCTTCTAGGGCCTCTCTCCCCACCCAGTGCTTGGCTAACTGGGGAGCCAGCCTAGCGGATATGCCAGGTGACCAGGACCCATTGGAGGTGACAAGGTGCTACTTCTCAGACTATGCAAGAGGTGGAGGTGGGGCAGTGTGGAGGTCAGCTTGGGGGGGTCAAGGAGGAGGGCAGGGGCCCCATTAGGGAGCGAGTGTACAAACACCACGTAGCAGCAGGCCTCCGGGGTGGGACTTGGAAGACACAGCTGACCCCGCCTGGGTATAATATGAGGGGAGTAGAGAGTGCGCTTAGGTTTGGGGCTGCAGTTAGCCATGCCTTCAACCTAGTCCTACACACAATGCCCGGAAGAGGGACTCCACCACAAGGCTGCAAGTGGTGTTGAAGTCTTACGTACCAGTCAATCACAGGACCTAGGTCTCAGCCTCCCAAGGGGGCGGGCTAAGGAAGATACTTCCCTGCTTCCCTGAGGTCACATGGAAGAACTCTTCCAATCATTTGACCTCTAGCCTCCTCTAAGGGAGAAACTTCCAAAACATCAAAAACTTCTTCCTGCCACACCCAAGCCCAGGCCAAATCCTCCCGGGTGGTGGGCAGGGTCCCTACAGCTCCCCCGGGGCCTGCACCCCCACTTTCAAACACCAGCATTCCTACGCCCCCGCCCCCCAACCTAAAAAAGCAACCACCAGCCTTTTACTATAGGACCCAATGGAAGTGGAGGGACCCGGAGGCCTTGTGAAGAGCATCATGAAAATGAGGCCTGGTCCGGGTCCCCTCCTCGTCCCCATGTCACCCAGCCTGATCACCAAGGTGAAGGGAGACACAGGGAGGAAAGGAAACCGCATTCCTTGGGATGGATCCTGTTATTTATGCTTGCTGCACAGACAATATTAGACAGGAGAAAAAAAAAAAAAAGCTTTGTATTATTCTTCCACATATGCTGGCTGCTGTTTACATACCCTGCCAATGCCTTAGCACTGGAGAGCTTTTTGCAATACGCTGGGGAAAGGGGAGGGAGGGGATAAAAAGTGCCAAAGAAAACATGTTTTTAAAAGCTCGGGTTTTATACAATAGAATGTTTTCTAGCAGATGCCTCTTGTTTTAATATATTAAAATGTTGCAAAGCCCTTTGAGCTCTAACCTCAGTCCACCCACAGTCCTTTTGTTATGAGGTAGAAGAACTCATGAACCATACACATTAACCCACCAATACCTAGGACACAGGGCCAAGAGTTGCCCAGTTCCTGTCCTCTGAGGGCTGGTACCACTGGAAATGCCAACATGTACTGCGAGAAGACAGGTGAGTTTTCTGCTTGTGAGGTGAAGGGCAGGAGAATGAAGAAGGGAGCTAACTCTGAGTGCTTTACACGTGTTCCTTCACCTTCTCTACACCTCATTATGCACATTTATAGTTGCAAAACAACTCCCCCAGTGTCCAGCTAGGAAGTAACCTAGCTGCAAATCTAAAACTATCTGACACTGATAGCCTTTGCTTTCTACTGTATTTCTCAGGAGAGAAAATAACACAGCTACTACAAACAAACAAACAAACAAAAAAGAATTAGCTTCTATCTACAGCTCTGTTGTAGATATTCCTTCAGCTCCACACCAGTAGGGAGGCCCCAAGAGCCCTTTTGGTTTATCCAGTTCAGACTGGAGCAGAAGGGAGCCCAACATCTAAGAGGAAAGCCATCCCGCAGACTGTGAACATACGCAAGCTGCTCTCTGGCACTAAAGAATGGGACCCTCTCCAACCCAGGGGTTCCTACAGCCTTTCTCATTTCTGCTCCAGGACCTGGGCTCTAATGAACCGCAGAGGCAATACCTAAGGACTTGCACACATTTATTTCTCTGGACAGCGCAGGCCTATTATCAAGCTGCTGTCAGAATGAAGTGACTCCTGCTCCACCAAACCCAAAGTGCATCACGGGGGGTTAGGACTACTTGTGGCAGCCCGCTTAGCAGCTTGGGCTCTCTGAAAGTCCCTCACTTCCTGAGGGGTCCGCAAATACTGCTCTATCTCACTGTCAGAAATGTCCTCATCTCCGGTGACCGTGGAGGCAGGGGGAGTGGGGCAGACCCGCTTTGGGGGCTTCAACATGCAGGGTGGGAGGAGAAGGGCAGGACTAGCTGGCCGCTTCCCCTTGGGTAAACCAGAAGAGCCATTTCCCACTTCCTCTTGTCCCTGTACCCGTCCCCGCAGCTCCTCCGCCGGGGCCTCCACCTCTGACGGCCCTTCTCGGAAGGCTTTGCGGATCAGAGTGTGGCGGTGCTGTAGCAGGTCACTGATGTGCTTCACCACAGACCGTTTGTCAAGTTTCAGAACCTGCAGCCAGGCCAGCTGCTCAGCCATCCGCAGCAGCACAGCCAGCAGTTCCTGGAGGCGGGAGGAAGCAGGGTAGGGTAGGTCCACATTTGCCAATTTACAAAATCGGGCCAGGGAGCATGTCAGACGAGCTGAGGGCTGCAGCGACTGCCAAGCCAGGAAAGCAGCAGCGGTGATGACAGGCAAGGGATGACGCCCGGTCACCAGCCATGTCTCATCCGCCAGCTCCACCAACTGCAGTGTTCGTGACAGCATCTTCTCTTTGTCTTCCATGAATTTGGCTGGCATCGACGGGGAGGCTTGGAAAAGTTTGAAGCTGAAATAATCAAAATAAGGGTTGTGTCTCAATGCCCATGGGGAAGAGCAGTCTGCTCAGGATGGGCAAGCTGTTCTAGCTCCTTGGGAACACTCAAGATTGCTGGCAGCAAGTTTCCTACGGATACTGAGAGAAGATGGGTGACTTTTCTGCTTGTGCGGCGAAGGGCAGGAGAATGCAGAAGGGAGCTAACATGTCAGCATTTATTCTGAGTGCTTTACACGTGTTCTTTTACCTTCTCTACACTTCATTATGCACATTTATAGTTGCAAAACCCATCCCCAGTATCCAGCTAGGAAGTAACTAAGCTGCAAACCCAAAACTATCTGACACTGATAACCTGTTTTCTACTACATTTCTCAGGAGAGAAAATAACACAGCTACTTAAAACAAAACAAACAAACAAACAAACAAAAAAATTAGCTTCTATCTACAGCTCTGTTGTCTCCTAATATTCCTTCAGCTGCATTCCCAGTTGATCCACACAGGCCACACATGTGAGTGGTGCAACCCAGGAGGCCTGTGCCAAGGCTAATACCTACTTTTCTATATCAGTAGGTTGCTGTGCGGGCAAAAAGATTTGAAATTATAGCATTCTAGAGATATAAAATGGGATTAGTACTAGGCACAGGAAAGGGAGAACAGATTTTTCTCCCACATTTTTTTAGATGGGCTTTCATCAAAAAGAGACAGCCAAAGGTAAAAGGATTCATGTCTAAGGACCCATCCCATCCCATCCCCAAAACTCCCCCACTCGGCAGGTACCTGCTACAGTAGGTCTTCACCAGGTCTGCCAAGCACAGAGATGGCACATCCAGCCCCAGGAGCTTCACTATCTGCATGTAGGTGCCAGAAAACATATCCAAATCTGCATACAACAGGGTGCAGATGGTCCCCATGGTCAGGGGCCAGTTATGCTGCCTACAGGTGATTAAGACACAGCACCCAACCAACACCTCCTTCTTCTGCACCCTGGCAGCCCGAATGCCAGGGTGCTGGTATGCCTTTTGGTAGTAGGCAACTGCTGTGTCCTCAAAAGTTGATGGCAACTGCAGAACTCGACAGAGATCTCTCACTCGGCGGAGACCTAGGAAAACCCACATCAAGAGTTAGAGGTCAATTTCTGCTAAACTTGCCTCCGATACAAGATGCACTACTAGCCCTGGATAGTGTCGTTCAGTTGGTTGAAGCATTATCCTGTAAACCACAAGGTCATGGGTTCAAAGGTCAAGGTCATCGGTTGCTTCTGCACGTGCACCAGGGCACGTGCAGAAGCAACCGATCAATTTTTCTCTCTCTTCCTTTCCCTCCCTTTTCTCTCTCTCCCTCATACATATATATATATATATATATATATATATATATATATATATATATATATATATATTAATATAATCTCTTTACAATGACAGGATAGACAGCTCGTGTGACTTCCAAAGACTTAAAGAAATTCATGGAAAGAAGTCACATTTTAGCCCACCATTTTTTGGAGGCTGGTTTGATTCAGGGCCAAGCCAGCGTTCGATCTGGATTCCTTGCGTCTACCTCAAACATATCCCTCAAACCTACACGGATTTGCTACCTCTCCTAGAACCACCCCCATCCTTTATTTTTAATCACCATTTTCTTCTACTCTGCCTTACATGATAAAGTTGAAATCAGGAAAAGCAAGCACATGGGCTGGACCATCGAGAATTTTCTTGAAAGCCACTGTGTCATGAAAGGTTTGTTCTCACCTCGTTGCTGACTGCGACTAACTTGTTCATTTTCCCCTGTGCTTCGCGAATATGCTACTTCTGTAAAAACAAAAACAAAACAAAACAAGGTTAGCCTTTATTCACTAGACCCCTGCCCTCCTACCACACAAAGCCAGGGGGCAGAATTCCAATCATTAGGCGTCTATTCTGCCTTACATGATAAAGTGCTAGGGGAATCTTAGATTCTCTCTCCTCTCTCTCTCATCCTCACCTGAGGATATTTTTCTATTGATTTTGAGAGAGAGTTGAAGAGAGAGGGAAAGAACGTGAGAAACATCAATGTGAGAGAAACATTAAAGGTCCATCTGATTTTCTATGTCCACAGGCACTATCACATACACAAAGATTGAGGAAGATCGGGACTACACTAACGCAGGTCCAAGTGTTCCCAACTTTTCAGAAATTTCAGTACAAGTTTGTACCCTCCCATACATCCAATCCAGACCATTTTCCTGGCTGCAGATTTTGAGGGCTGCCGTGCTCAGGAACTTGGAAAGCAAAGGAAGAAAAAGACGTTTTACCAGTTAGTACTAAAAACGACTTCAGGTGCTGTATGCGTAAAGAATTAACCCACAACATTCCCACCACGACCAGACTGGGTACATGGAGTAGAAGCTTGTTTCTCTTTTTTTCGTTTATTGTACCTATCAGACATTGTCCTAGATAATTACAGACTGTTGCTGTTTCTTGTGATTAAGCCCCGATGCTAGAAAAACACAGGTGAAACACAGCAGTCCCTAACATCTCGCAGCTCCCTCCTACACTTTGGGTCGTTTTCTCTCGTATTTAAATGCGTACGAGACAGAGAGCGGACGGGAGGTAAGAGGAATCGGGCTTCAGTCCTTCCGCTGCCCCAGGCTGCACCCACAGCTCTGCCCGGACGGCACAGGTACCTCGGAGGTTGCCCTCGTCGCTGAAAGTGGTGGTGAGAACTCCCTCGGTGACCACACAGCCGCAGTCAGAGCACACCAGCTGGCTCTGCGAATAATGCGCGTCTTCCACCAGTTCCGCGGAGCCGCAGTCCGGGCAGCGGCCTCCGCCCGGCATCTCACCCTCTGCCCGGCGCCACGGGCGCCTTCGGATCTCCAACCGAAGGTCTGCTACAGCAACCGTGAACTAAGAGGGGACCTTCCTAAGGAATGCACCTTCCTGTTCCGGTCAGCGGTGTTTGGGTAGCTCTCTTGACTCTGCGAATGCACGCCACTTCCGGTCCGTTCCTTTGTGGAGTCGGGTGGAAACGTAAGCAAGGAGAGGAAGTTCCTGGAGTAAACTGTGTCGTTGGGCTCCCAGCTGTCAGTAGTTGGTTTGAGGCAAGTCAGAAGGGGGTTGAATTTGGGTAAATATTCTGCCTACATGAACATACATAACAAGCAAGAAATTGTTGCTATCCTCAAACAACTCTCCTTTCTAAAGTGCCCGGGGAATCTTGGATTCTCCATTTCTCTTCTCTCTCTCTCTCTCTCTCTCTCTCTCTCTCTCTCTCTCTCTCTCTCTCTCATCCTCACCTGAGGATATTTTTCTATTGATTTTGAGAGAGAGTAGAAGAGAGAGGGAAAGAACGTGAGAAACATCAATGTGAGAGAAACACATAGATTGGTTGTCTCCTGCATGCACCCTGACCAGGGCCGGGGCGGGAAGGAACCTGCAACCCAACCAAGATACGTACCCTTGACTGGAATTGAACCCAGGACCCTGCGATCTACAGGACAACGCTCTAGCCAGTGAGCCAAACTGGCTAGGGTTCTATTTTTCTTTGGAAACAACTGTTGATTCTGGCTATAGAACAATGTGCCTAAAGAGGAGAGTAGTGTAGTGAGAGAGTAGGAAATTGTGTTCTATGTTCTAGAGCTGCTTTCCCAAGCAAGTTGTTCTTCTTTGTAGTCAGTTTGTCTCAACTGTAGAACGAGGGAGTAGAATTAAAATTCAGACAAACTCAAATGCTTTCAAAGGCTAAGCAAGGAATGTCTCAGGGAGTTGGAGTGAAAGAATATGGAGTAGTGTGGACTCTGATGAACTGGGGAGTTCAAGAAAATTCAGATGTTTTTAAAAGTTTGAGCTTTAAGCCCAGCCAGTGTGGCTCAGTGGTTGGAGGTTCTATGCACCGAAGGGTCACTGATCCCATTCCTAGTCAGGGCTGTCAGGACACAAACCAGGTTATGGATTTGATTCCAGTCAGGGCACAGGCAAACAATCAATGTGGGTTTTGGTTTTTTCTCTTTCTCCTTCTCTTTTCCTCTCTCTCTCTCTGGAATCAATGAAAAGAAGGGGAAAAGAACATACTCTCAGGTAAGGGTTTGTAGGTTTGCTTGTTTTTTAAACTTAAGCTTTAAGATTCTTCAAGCTTCTGGCTCCAAAATTCTTAGCTTGGTAAATAGTATACATCAGCAATTTCCTACCTTTTTTATCTCATGGCACACAAAGTAATTACCAAAATTCTGCAGCACACCCAAAAGTAGATTGTAATTTTGCCAATCTGACAAAAAAATAAATGTAATTTTGATTAATTCACTCTGGACAGCTATTGTGTTGGCTGTTGTCATTTTTTAATTTGACAATCTAAAGGCAAAAAGGCCAGTGCCCCTCACTAAATAGTCAGGTATTGCTCACAACTGGCACACTGGTTGAAAAATTGCTGGCATAGATCAAAGAATCTTGAACAAAATTTTCGTATGAGTAAATCTTAATTGCACTCTAAGAATAACTATGTTAATGCTTGGAAGTTTTAGAACCAGTTGTGTCTGAAAAATAAGAAAGTTGAATCAAATGACAAGTATAGCCAGGGCCTGTCCTAATGACTCCAAAAATGTAGATGGGTGTCACCATAACAAGTGTGGAGAATTTCTTTTTCTCAGGCTGACAATGCAGAGTTCCAGTAAGGCCTCTTGCAGTTTTAAGGGAGGCCAGAGTTTCAGGGAGGCCTCTGTACATTATAGAAGCTGTTGTGGGCTCAATTTCAACCTTGCATAATGAACTCATCCCTTCCCACTGAGAACAGAAACCACTGAGTGGCTCCTGTGCAGAATGAATTAAAAGGTAAGGGTGTCGCCAAGACTGGTTTGGCTCAGTGGATAGAGTGTCGACCTGCAGACTGAAGGGTCCTGGGTGTGATTCCGGTCAAAGGCATCTACCTTGGTTTTGGGCACATCCCCAGTGGGGGGTATGCAGGAGGCAGCTGATCGATGATTCTCTCTCATCGATGTTTCTAACTTTCTATCCCTCTCCCTTCCTCTCTGTAAAAAAAAAAAAAAATCAATTAAAAAATATATATATTTTTTAAAAAGGTAAGGGTGTCTTGTCAGACCCTTAACAAATGATATTCCCTTGAGGAATGAGATACAGATTACTGCAGCCTTCGGTAAATTATTATGAATCCTAGAGCTGAAGTTTTTCAAAAGAAAAATGATGCCTAGTAGTCTGAAGAGTCAAATCTACACAATGACATGTATCCAGTGAGAGTGAGTCCTTATACAGAGCAGTTGAGCCTCAAAAATAAAGGGGTCTCATCGGACAGAACTACAGGTTCTTTTGAAAAAGCTATAGTCAGTGATCAGATAGAGAAAACTTCCTCTATGCCCTATGAAACTGTGAGTTCCCTGGACTGCAATGCAGAGCAAGGGCATATATGACAAAAAAGACTGCATGTTGTGAGCAATACCTGACCAAGCATCAGCCTATGGCTTTCCAAATCCCCTCTCTCCTAGACTTCCCCACTAGTGTGATGTATGTAATGAGGACTTATTTCTGGTTGTTCAGCAGATAGATATTGAGACATGCTTGCATGCCTGTGTGCACACACACACCCACACATCTCAGAATTTCTGAATCAGTTTTAGACAGTACAGTCGACATTCTCACTGAGGAGGGAAACATGTCCCTAAAAATAACATAATTGGCACTGAGAGTAGTCTTCACATTGTCATACAAGACCAGCATAAGACTCCTCTCCTCCCTAATTTTGTGCAGATCTTGTACATAACAGCATTTTTAGGAGTGGGGTTTTTTATAGTTGTGTACCCATGATAGAAGTTTTAAAATTCTACTTTCCCCCACATGACTCATAGTAAAGTGGAAAAGCTGTTTTATGACCCTCCAATCAAATTGTGAGAGGTGGAGGGGCGATTTTCTTTCCAGTCACAAGTGTGTGTGATGGCATGGAAGAGCCTGGGCCTCAGACACTAACAGGCTGGGAGGTGGCCTGGACCAGGCCAGAAGATGGCGCACTCTACAAGACATATAAGTCTGGGATTCTGCACTTTCCCAAGAAGAAATCGATTTATTTAGGAAACGTGTTTGCCTTCCTCTGGGAAATCAGGACAGATACGTCACCCTTGGGGCCCTTCCCACTGCTACAAATACATCTAAGAGTTACCGTCATTCAATGAGAGCAAGTATCTGTTTGTTTAACAGATATTCCTCAAACCCTTCTCCCCTACCCCCCATCTGTGAAACTGGAGCTATGTTTCTTATCACATGGTACCTGACACACAGGCTTTTAAAATGCTGAATGCCCACAATGGGCTGATTTTGAGCAGAAAGCTACTGTGGAGGGAATGCTGTTGGAAAGGCCAACCCGGCCAGGTTCAAATGGGAAACACTGACCTTAGGCCAGAGCTCTTTCTAGAGAAGAGACCAGAGTGGAAGGCACCAATGGTGTGGGACCTGGAGGAAGCTCTCCACCAGTCCTCCCTCGATGAGAGGTGTGCATTCTAGTTAGTTGTTTACCTGTCAGACTTCCCTTGTGATTGCAAGTCTCTGAGGAAATGACCTGGCTTCTTCGTCCCCGTGTCCTAGGAACACCTCCTAAAGCGAGGGCTAGCACTCAGTTAAGGGCTGTTCAACACCTGTCAGGAGCAACACACAGACTTTCTCAGAGGCAGGACATTCCAATCCAGAGCAAGGAGCCAGGGGGAGTTAGGCAGCCTCACCCCTGGGCTCCTCCCAGCTCCGTTGACTGAAATGTTCACTCTACACCAGTTTCACTCTGAGCCCGGAGGACGCTCTCTTCTCCCTCCCACAGAGCCTGGCAGTGGCTCAGGCCTGCGATCCTTCCTGGCAGGGTTTCCTTTCCACCACCTCGGCTCTGCAGTGGACACGCGCGCTTCTCCGGCACTCACAGGGGACAGCCACAGCACGCAGCGTGGCCGGGGCTTCCTAGATCCTGGTGCCAAATAACCTTCCTCACTCATATTCCCTTTTCCCCTTTGCATTATTTATTCTGTGACCCCAACACCCTTCCCTCGCCTGGGATGAAGATTAATGTTTTCAGTTTCTCAAACTCCTAAGAACATAGGCATGTGATCACTCTAAGGAGGTGGGCACAGGCCCATATCGCTGCACAGACCGAGGGCACAGACACCAGTCACCTTACCTGGAACTGCCCTCCTCAGGAAGCCTGTGTGTAGCCTCACCTTGAGGTATATGGTCTCCCTTATCCCTGCCGGCTTCAGCCCTCCAGGATTCCAAGTGAACCCGAACAGTATCTGCCTGGCTCCCAAGTGATCGTGGGCGAGGGGTCAGGAAACTTTTTCCATAAAGGGCCAACTAGCAAATATTTAGGTTTGGCAGACATTGAAGTCTCTGTTGCAATGACTCTAAGCTGCTGTTGTAACATGGAAATGATCATAGATAAGGATGTAAACAAATGAGCATGACTGTATTCCAAAGAAACTGTGGACACTGAAATTTGAATTCCATGTAATTTTCATGTAGCTTCATTTTAATTTTTTAAAAATCATTAAAAAAAAAATATATATATATATATATATCCAGTATTCAGCATTGTGTTGTTGACTGTGGTTATGACTCTCTGTGCTTTAGATATCTAATAATTATTTAAGTTGGAAAAAAAAAAAAAGTAAAAATCATTCTTGGTTTGATGGTTGCACAAAAACAGGAAGTAGGCCATATTTGCTGTGCCTCCCCCCCACCCCCACCCCCATTCCACACCTCCAGGTCAGACACAGGCGTCCCAGTTCTTTCTGAACCACTCACTGTCTGACCCGTGGCAAACAAAGTTCTGATGCCTCTCTAGGACTCATCTGCATAATGAAGATCATATCTTCCTTGATGAGAATTAGAGACAGCAGCGTTGGTGCCTAGGGAACAGAAGGAACTCAGTACGCGGGCCTCCCTTTTGCAGTCGAGTTTCAGCCTGAAGTGAGCACCTGATATGTAAGGACAGAGCAGCTTTCTCTCCTCCTTGAGAGAGCCTATCACTGTGAGCTAGGTGCCTATTCCCTGGGCTCAGGATCCACGTGTGAAACAGCTGGACGTAAAAAGGCTAAGTGAGGACATTCTCCCTCAGGAGACTTTGTGGCTTTGGAATACGCTGGCCCCACCAAGCTCAAGGAAGCCAGTTTTGAATGTGGAGTGACAGCTCCTGTCCTCCCAGGGAGGGAAAGACTGCTGGTTGCAAATGATGTTAACGGATGAGAAGCCTCAGGCATGGGATCCATTTGCTCAGAGACTAGGTTCCAGGGCTAAGGGAACCCATGCTGCTGGCACCTTGGCTAAGGTTAAAGAGTGGTAACACCACCCTGTAAGTGACAGTTTTCCATGAGGGTGGGAGACAGGATGCCCCCTCGCCCCAGAAAATCCTCATCTGGTTCACAGGTGGCTGTGATGATGACCTGAGCAGGCAGTGATCCGGAAGTGACCTAGATCATCTTTGCAGTTGCCGCAGCTCTTCTGTGGTGAGTGGTTAGCTGGGCCGATTCTCCCTCGGAATCACTATCGGTCCTTGTTGCAGATTCTCTAAAGGCATGCCGAAATGTTCTGGACAGTCTGTACTGCGTGTTCTCATCTTTATTTAAAAATGTATCTATTTGTATGAGGGGGAAATGCTGGAACAACCAATCAAAATAACAGTGTTACCTCTTGGTAGGTAATTTAGGATTTCTCTCTCCCCCCTTAGCTCCCCAAGAATGAGCATGTATAGCATTACTTAGAGAAATCTACAGACCAAGTGGGTGGCTATGCTTAGTGACCAGTGGCAATTCAGTAAATGGGCCTTCCTTTTGCAGTCAAGGTTTAGCCTGAAGTGAGCTCATGATATGCAAGGACAGAAGCAGCTTTCTCTCCCTCTGTGAGAACCTAAGGTCCCTGCAGCAGGCCAAGATGAGGGGTGTGTCATAGAGAAGGGATCAAAGATGCCCCATTCCCTGGACCAGAAAGGGCATTGGGACCCCTGGGCACCAGGCAAGGTGGCGGCAGTAGGAATCCAGGTGAGAGATTCTCAGAGGGTGAGAAACACTGGTCACCCCCCCACCCCCCCAAGGGAAGTTGGCCAGGAAGACAGAAGACATTTTTATTATACCCCTACGAAACCACAGACACAAATCTTTGAAAGGTAGTACCATTTTATTTAGTGTTGTAGGAAATTTTAGGTTACTTCTTACCAACAAAATCAGAAAAATTCAAAATTCCCAAAGTAACAAAGCAGAAAATAACTCTATAATCCAAAAACACTGGGCAATCCTTCAAGAGTCGGAGGGAAGAAGAGGTCAGGTTTGTAGCTCACATAATAGATATCGAGAAACCGCAGGGTTGAGGTTGGCATGGATACTAGGAGATTATGTTCTCCACCTAAGACAATTAATCTTTCAGCTTTGAGGGATTATTTATTTGTAGTTCTAAAAAAATAAAAATAGAAAGTCAGCTGGGAGAGGGATCCAGTGAGGAAAGATCCTGCATAATTTAACATTAAGTTATTGCCTCTGGCCTTCAATACAGTATGTGACTGAGTGTCATGGACCTTTCCCCTTGTTGTCCTTTTGAGCTCCCACTGTTAGCAAAGCTGGAATCACACACATGTATCACACTGGTTCATGCATACGTGCACACACCCTTCCACTCAGGTCAACAGCTGTTCCGCATGGCAAAGGGCAGACTTGCTTGCTTCCCCAGTCTGCTACCCTGATGAGGTTAACACACAGGAATAAAAGAGAATGGTAGGACACCTGTCAAAGTCCAAGGAATGAGATGATATAAAACAACCGAGCAAAGAACTGATATCTTACTCCTGGAGCTGACCTCCAGTTGAAATTCATTGCAAGGTGTTTGCTTTTAATCGGACACTTCCCTAAAGTACTGACTGTTCTTTCGAGGCAGCTAGGCAAGGCCAAGAAGGCAGCTGCCCCTGCTTCTCCTCCTCCCAGGGCCCGTCAGGTAGGTTAGCATTCACAGCAGCTAAAGGCAGGTGCCATTCCCGTATAGATGGGCACAGGCCTTCAGACATGTGCCAGGGATAGGAGTCCAGAGCGCCAAATCCCCACTGCCCTGCTAATGGCTCAGAGCAGGCTAAAGCTTTTCTTAGATAAACTCTCCCCCCAAGTAGAGTCCTAAAGGACAGTCATTAACTAGTGACCTTCAGACTATCTACTTTTGAGAGGTACAGGAATGCTATCCATTGAATTTTTTCCCTCAGCAGTGGTAGAAACCAGACACCCTTGAAGTAAATTATCCTTCATTCTCCAGAGTTCCCAAGTGGCATATCAGAGCACAGGAATTCACTCCTCCACCTGGCGTCCAGCTCAAACACTAACCAAGATACATACTGAGGTCCTAACAGCAACCTCCAAGCCAACCCCTCCTGAATGGTGCAGGTCTCCACACCAGCCCTTCAGAACTCACCTGCCCACCCCCCTTCCAGGGCACTTGGGTTATCACAGTCAAAACACATTTATATCAAGTAAAAAACAAGTCATGGAACAAATATATACATGTACATTTTCAGAGTTCAAGTGAATATACAATTCTCTTTGTAGGTATGTACATCAATGTCATAGCACTACAAAAATACAAGGCATCTGAGAAGTTTACAGTGGTCCCCAGTACTGGAGGAGAGTATTAAATAAAATAGCTATAGGTAGTTAAAAACTAATCGAGTAAATCAAGTTACAGTATCATCCTTCAGATTAAAGTGCTCCAATAGAACTAAGATTGCAGCAGACATGATCCCGAAAAGGGATTCTGCTGCCAGCAATCTTGCCTCTTCACCTCAATATAATAAGAACATATGAAGAAGAGATCCCCAATTTAATACCGGCCTGTATTGCCACCCCTGCCCACCCCACTGGCCGGTGATATTCCTCCCCTAGGAGAGAGGTCAAGATCTGGCGAGATTCTGTCACAACCAGAGAAAAAAAAAATGAGTAATACAGAAACATTCTAATTGCAATATTAGGTTACTATCAATGATATTACCTGAAGAATTTGAATTGGTACTATTAATTAAGATTAAGAGCCCTAGGTGGTTTGGTTCAGAGGCTAGAGCAACTGCCCCAAGACTGAAGGGTTCTGGGTTCGATTCCAGTCAAGGGCACGTACCTCAGTTGTAGGTTCCCCTGCCCTGGTGGGGGTATGTGCAGGAGGCAACCAATCCATGTATCTCTCTCACCTCTCTCTCTCCCCCCAATCTGTCTAAAAAAAAAAAAAAAAAAAAAAAAAAAAAGGAAAAATATCCTCAGATGAGGATTAATAACAACAACAAAATAAAGATTAATACCAGGCAAGTGGCCTAATTTTTAAATACATGTGTGTTAATCTAGCTTTTAAAATAAGCAAGTCCAAAATAAGTATTATTTTCTTGCTCTTTACCATTTTTTAACAAGGGGGCAAATGATAGGAAGAACTGCCAGGGAAAGCAAGGCACAGAGGGAAAAGGCCACAGGAATCCTACTAAAACCATCCCATATCTGGTGAGACTGTTTTAATAAGGCCTGGGTCATCCAATTCCTTACCAAAGTCCCGACCAGGCCAATCTAGCCAGCAGGAATCCTGCTATTATGGGAGGAGAGACTTGGACCAACCTCCCCTGACTGAGTGCCAAGTGACTCTCAGTCCCCTGTTCATACATTTTAAGGCTAGAGTGTAGTGGAAGTGATGTTTAGAAAAGGCAACTTGTTAAAAATCTAAAAGGCACACTCAGAGGCTTTCCCTAAACTCCTCTGCTCTGGTCAAAGCAGGACCAAGTCTAAGAAGCCCAGGAGGCTGATGTAGTATCAAAATTTAACCTCTGCAGCCAAGCAGACACCTGAGCTACTCAAAAGCCACGAAAGTATGGGTAACACAGCACCTTCTCATTTCACCCCGAGCGTTCATGACTGGGGGATACGTATTTTAGAATCTTGACATCAAAGAAAGGAAACCCCAATGTTAAAATACATCAATAGCCCTGGCGCCACTTGACTCTCTGGACCAGGATCAGATCTTATGACCATGTCTTTCAGGGCATAAAATATTCACAACATAAGGCACAGTGGCATTTAAATATAAGACCCTGGGAACATACAGTGAAGGACTCATTGTAATAAGTAACCTGGCTTCAATTGGCAGAACTGACTCTTGCCAGATAACACGCAAGGGAGACGGATGGTGACTTGGAACCCTAGGCTGGTTATCAGGCACACGGAGTCCTTGACCTCAGGAGGAAGTGGAAACAAACTCACAAAAAAAAGTCTCAGTGTTGCACGCTGGCCATTCACATCTTCCCTGCCTTCCTGCCGACCTGAGCCGGGACCCGGAGGATGTTGGGGGTTTCTTCCATGACCCTGACGAGCAGGTTGTCGATGTAGTCCTCCAGCTCTCGAACCTGGAACTCCTTCTTGTTTATTGTTTCCTTCTGTTTGAGGACCAGCTGGATCAGCTCATCATGGGTGAGCTGTGCATAGGCAAAAGCAGGGTCCGAGGGGGTGTATTTCTTTGGAGAGGAAAGAAGTGGGGAAAAAGACAAAGTCATCAGAGAAGTCTAAATAGCTATAAAAAAATAAAAAAATAAAAAGGGTACCATTACCTCCTGGTTCATAGGTTGATGCTCAACCACTGAGCATGAAGTAGAAAAGAACCAAATTCTAACTCTGTATTAGCTTACTTTTGATCTTTACATTTATTTCCTTAATTGAATTTATTATTCAGGAAAGTGCATGCTGGGCCTTCATTCTGAGGGGTTTTAAAGACTGGGCATTTTCAGGATGTCTTAGGGGAGGATCAAAATAGAATTATCTTTCCTATTTTTCCTCGGATTCTTTATGGTGTGCTTTACAACTTTAACATCATACAGGATATAGTGTTTTGGAGAGTTTTTTTTTAAATATATTTTTATTGATTTCAGAGAGGGTGAGAGAGAGCCCACAATCCTGGCATGTGCCCTTGACAGGAATCGAACCTGGAACTCTTCAGTCCCCAGGCCAATGCTCTATCCATTAAGCCAAACCATCTAGGGTCAAGATATAGTTTTATAGCTTCTTTAAACGGTTATTTTGTGAGCCTTTTCCCATCATTAGATTTTATGATAGCAAAAATTGCTTTTTTAATGGTTGCTTAAAATTCCATCATATTTTAACCATCTCTCTCCCTGAGTACTTAGGTTGTTTTCAATTTTCGCAATTATATAGTAACATTTTAATTAAAATACATTAACATAAATGTTCGGTTACATTGCCAAATATTTCCTTAATAAAAATGCGTGAAATTAAAAAGGCATACACACTTAAGGTATTTCATACAAACTGTCAAATAGTTATTCAATTTAAATTTTGTATTCCAAAGGGATACAGGACTTTGAAATCATTAGAAGATTCTAGGATTGTGATGACTTAAAAAAAATTATAGAACAATTCAACATTTCAGAAGGTGAGCATCGGCCATGAAGAGGAAGAGGTGCAAAGAAAATATCCATTAATTCAAGAAATAACAGTGCCCATTGTCACATATTTCCTCTCAGGATCTTATACTGGATTCCTCCCCCCCCCCCCCCCCCCCGCACAGTTGCAATAATAATGATGTATATTCAAATTGTGTCCAACTTTTTCCATATAACAGGACAGATGATTTCTGAGTGCAGTTGGCTGTATTATTTTTAAATGGACATGTCAAAGCCACCTGAGTAAACAATCCACGCCTAGGCATAAATCATCTATAAAGGATGGAGGTCCCAAGAAAAATACCTTCCCCACCCCCCCAACCCATCCAATATGATTCAGCAAGCCTTTCATAACTTTAGCTATGCAATTTCTTCCTCTAACCTCTCTCTTACTCTGCAACATTCCAAAGAGTAGTTCTTATTTATAAGCATTGTTTATGCTTTAGCACAAAGCATCCATTATATGGCCAGCCAACAGCAGTCTCCAGGAAACTTTCCATATTTACTCCGACTAGTTACTAGGTATGGTCCAGGACTGAGAGCTTTGCTGCCGGCAGGCAGAGGGACAGCAGTGGGGCTTACAAATCATGAGCAAGCCAGGCAGCAGTTTGCCTTTGTTTTAAGGCACAGTTATTCTCTCTGTCAGGGCCAGGAGATAAGCCCCTGGTTAAACAAGCTTTGAAGAGTAAATAAAATGAGAGCCAAGGGTCTTTCGTGCTAACTTCCTGAACACTAGGTGTTGTTTCTCTTTGGAGCCAAGCTGCATTCCACAGTAAAAGGAAGAGGGGATGGGAGGCCACCACATGGCTCTAGTTCTCATGACCCTTTTATGCTGTTCTTTTGCCCAGTTTCCTGGTAAATATTGTTAACTCCAGGAAGACAAGTGCTGCCTCTTCTACACAAGCACAGAACCCAGCCCAGCGGAGCTGCTGGTTATGATACGTTTTTAGGCTAGGACTAACACATCGTAGGTAGGTATACAGTTCTGGCTGCAGCTGGGGATTTCGAGAGAAGGCAAGATGGCCAGAAGATGCTGACTTGTTTTCAGGCACAATTCATTATTACTATTCAGCCTCTTGACCTGAAACTCCGCTCTCCAGCTTCAGTGAGCCGTTAGCCCAGCTCCCGGTGGCATAGGTACAATGCGGTCAGAGGCAGCAACCACCACCCAGCACTTTAAAAACGTTTGCAGGAGGGAAGGAGTCGTGAGCAAAAAGTTTTACTTTAAAAAAACACAAAGACTGCACTGGACAGTTTTGCTTAGTGGTTAGTGTTGGCCCGTGAATAGGATTCAGGGTTCCATTCCCAGTCAAGAGCATGTATCTCAGTTGCAAGTCAATCCCCGGCCTCAGTTGGGGTAAGAGGGGGAGGCAATCAATCGATGTGCCTCTCTCACATCGATGTTTCTTTCTCTGTCTCTCTCCCTCTCACCCTTTCTCCCTCCCTTCCTCTCTTTCACTCCCTCTAAAAATCAATGGAGAAAATATCCTTGGGTGAGGATAAACAAAAAAATAAAATAAATAAACTTTATTTTCACCAACTACAGTCCCCAGGAGTCATTTAGGAAATTCCTCTCCACATATTTGAAACACATCCTTGCCCATGACTTGTCCTCAATCACTCATTATATCACTCTCCTCCAGCCCAGTGACAGTGAGTCAAAGACCAGGGGGCTGCAGCAAGGCCCGATTCTAAACCATTCTGACATTAGAACCAGGAAGGGCAGGATGAGGACACGCAAAGCAGAAATCACCTGGGAGGCTGATTTTGTTTATGTAGGGAGTTAATTTTTTGTTGTGTGGTGGTGGTGGTTGTTGAATGTTAGCCTAAGCTTTTCAAAGAGAAGAAACCCTCTAATCCAGCAATATTCTTCATGGAAACTGAGATTAAGGAAATAATCTAACAGGAGGGAAAAAGACCTATGCAAGCGATTGCTGGCTGGAGAGTTATTCATCTTGCAAAACAGAAAACATATTATAATGTTGTACACTTGAAATGTATGTAATGTTATTAGCTAATGTCACTTCAATAAATTTAATTTTTTTAAAAGAAAAACAGAAAACAACATGAGTATCCAACAATAGGGAAATGGTTAAGTGAATAATGGTATAACCATTTCAAGAATAATTATGTAGCAACATGCAAAAAAAGGTTATGATATATTAAGAAGGGAAAGGAAATAAAGAAGTGTTTCTAGGTAGGTGATAGAGTTGGGAATACCATCATTTTGCAACTGCCATAGTCATCAATGGATACTAAAGCCTGTGAATCAAAAGTTGATGAGGAACAGGATGTTCACATAGTCTGAAATTAATTCCCCACAAGTTTCTTGTTAACTGTAAAGGGACAAATAGCAACTTTATCCTGGAGAATCTTGGGGGACACCACCAAACTAAGTCATGAGAGTTAATGCTTCCACTCCTGGTACAAACTGATATAATGTTCCTCTTCACACATAGCACTGAGAAGTACATGTTATTTGTATAGTTGATTTCGGCCAAGAATGTATAACCTCAACCAAACCATGAGGAAATCCCAGGCAAATATTAAACTAAGGCAAATTCTACAATAATGAGTAATCCTGGATTGGACCCTGGACTAGAGGAAAAATTACCCTAAAAAGGACATTAATGGGACAATCGGTGAAATTGAAATATAGACTATAAATGAAAAAAAAAAAGAGTATCACATCAATGTTAAATTTCTTGATTTTGATAAATGTCCTTCTTCTCAAGAATTCCATACTTAAGTATTTAGGGTAAGAGAGATGTGATATAAGCAATTTAATCTCAAATGATTTGGGGTGGAAAATGAGTATATAAACAGAGAACAAAGAGGGGGTGGGGAAAACAAAAAAGCAAATCTGGTAAAATGCTAACAATGGGTTAATTGGGATGAAAGGTGTTCCGGAGTTCTTTGTCCTATTCTTGTAACTTTTTTAAAATTTGAAATGATTTCAGAATAAAGTTACAAAACATATATCTGTGCAACGATTACAACTACAAGAATGTTATGTCCTTGCCAAAAGGTAAGAAAGGGTGCCTGACAATGAAAATCTAATTTGAATGGGCCAGATGGTGGGTGACACTTTCTCCTCATTAAAGAGAAGTGCTGATGTCAATTACGCTACTTGATTCACACAAAAATTCAACACTCACCACACGGGAAAAATAATTATTCGGTGGCAATGAAGGGGCTTCCATGAGACATATGGTTACATTACTCCATTACTGCTGCCCACGGAGCTGAAGACAAAGGAGACTCTAGAAATGGGTGGGTTTTTTAGATTCCTATCATGCCCATGTCTGGGCGAAGACATACCTTCATGATAGCTTCGTTGATCAAGTTCTCGCTGATGATAGTGGCAGTTCCCAAGCTGGAGTTAGCCGTCTTGGTGGCTGTCGTGTTCATTGGCTTCACGAGATGAGGTCTAAAGAGAAGGGAGAAAGGATCCTTAGAGCTTTCTGTAACAGGAACGCTGAGAAACTGCCCACCTCAAAGATGGCAGCTGGCCAGAGAGACGAGGCCGGAGAGTGGGGACTCGCCGTTCACATCTCCGCTCTAACACATGCCAAGGTTCCTGTAGAAATGAAAGCAGTCAGCTCTAGGCGGACAAATGCAAGCCAGCAACACACACTCTTAGAGCCAGGTGTCCTGACATTCTCACAAGCCCCTTGTCCTCGTTCTCAATGTCAGGAGAACGTGAAAGGCAGTGTCTTATTTTTTGGAGGCAACTACAGGCTAGGGCTCTACTGTGGGAGCTCCTGCGAAGCCTTCTGTTCTCCAGCAGTAAAGAAAGAGTTCGGAACAAGCATGCCAGCGTCACACCCGGCAGTGAAACTTTAAAAACACTGCTTGGTTCTACCTCTCAGTCTCAGTTGGTTCTGAGACTGTTAACATACCCATCACATCACAGTGCATCTCTGCTATTTCAGAGCTCCAAATCTATGCAGAGTAATTCCTAAACTATTTTGGAAGACTACTACTACATTCTCGCTACAAACACAGGTGTGCCTTCAGGTGCTCCCACCACAGGAGATGGCCCTTATAAAATGGGCCCTACCAGCAAAATGGGTGGGGGTTGCACCATCAGAACACCTGGGCGGTTAGAAAGCCATAATAACCTCTGCAGGTACAAGCAAAGGGGACATTGCTCAAGTTTACGAAGACATTCTTTCCCCGACTCTCACCTGTGCTTGGCTGACCCAGTGCCAGCTGAGACTGGATGTGTCTCCGAGGGTGAGACCCAGGCCTGAAGGAGCGGCTTCCTCTTGCCAGAATTTTCCACTTTCCCAGGGAGGCCCTCTGCTGTTGCTTTTTTGTGAGATTCTGCTGTACTGGTGTGGGGAGTGTCAGAGAGTGGGAAGCTAGGGGAAGAGTGTGTGTCAGGAGAGGGCTCAGGAAAGGAGGGGCTGGAGACAGGAGGATCCGGGGCCGAGTCAGCAGGCTGCTTTCGCCTCCCATTTCCCATCAGCCCTTCCTCCTCGCCCTCGCCAGGGCCTGGCAGCTGGGTGTCCAAGCGTGAGCTCTTGCCGAGATTTGGTTTATGGATTTCTAAAGCTGTAGTGTGCTCTGAAGAAGCCCTAACAGATGCTTCCGGTGCTTTTGGCCTGAGCTCATGCAGGCTGTCTGCGGGCACTGCTTGCCCACCTGCCTCGCCGTTCGGCGCCTCCTCAGAATGGGCAGGTGACCTGCTCAAGGAGGAAGCTCCTCTTGCCAGAGCTGCTCCCTCTGCTGCCTCGCTGTCATCTTCCACCTCGTCCACTCTTTCATCGTCCGATGTCACTTCAGGAATGGAAGGAAGGGTTAGGTCCAGATCGGCCGCGCCTGGAGATCGGACACCGGGGGCAGACTGAAGGTCCTCCAGGGGATCGGACAGCAGGCCTTCGTGGTCACTGGCTTTGCTCTGATTCTGAGCCAGGAGGGTGTCGTCTTCCTCCAGGCCTTCCCCCGAGCTTGCTCCACTCACTGGGCCTTCTGAGACGCGCTCCTCCTGGGAGGGGAGCAGCAGGTGACTGGCCTTGGCAGCCGGCACGCCGGGATCCAGTGGCCGGGGCTCACTCGCGGCCTCCCCCTCGGAGCCTCCCGCCTGGGGACACTTGGCAGGCTGCTCTCTGTCGCACACGCTGCCGGCAGCAGCCCCTTCGGGCCCCAGCTCCTGGGGATGACTTCCGTCCTCTCGGACCCGTCCAGGGGGCTTCTCCACCTCCTCTTCCGTGCAGAGCTGCTCAGAAAATGACACGTGCTTCTTGGTTTTCTTTGGGGCCTTGCTGCCATTCAGACCCATCTCTTCGTGTCTTCCCATCTCTTCCGGTTCTCCCATCCGAAGAGGGGGTACCGCCTGTTTGACTGTGGAAGTCACTTCCCCATCCCTACCTCTGTCCTCCTCAAAAAGCCCAGAAGGACTCTCCCAGTCTGTCTTTACCCCCATCGGAGGCCTCCCAGCCGGGCCTCCCGTCCTGCCGCTTCTCGCCGAAAGGGCCAATGGCACTCCTCGGGCCCCTTCCGATGAAGGGGGACAGTCTTGTTGTTTCTTGGGGGGAAACCTTGGGGGTTCTTCTTGCTGCCCCGTTTCAGGCTGCTTCAGGAGACCCTTTGCTGAGTCATCGCCCCTGGTATCCTCCTCTGTGTCCACCTCACGGGCCTTCCCCGCTGGAGCCTCTTCCGTCCCTGCCCACACTGCCGTGGGCGGCTGTTTGGAAGGTGATCCCAAGGCACGAGAAGCAGCATCTGGAGCTTGTGTTAAACTCTCCTCGTGCGCCTCTACGTCAGGGAGCAACGAGGGCCCCTCAGCACCAGCCGGGCCCTGGTCGGCGGAAGGCCAGTTTCCGATAGGCGTGGATGTGGAAATGGGAGCTGCCAGGGGAGGGGAGGAAGTGGAGAAGACAGAAGGAGATTCTGAGGACTGGGTCTCTGCCTTGTGCCCCGTCTGAGGAGGGACAGGTGTCTGAGCAGGACTGGAAGGGAAAGCAGAAGAAAGGGGAAGAGAGACAGGGGGAGGAGGAAGCCTGGCTGTGGGTTGAACCTCTGGAGACACTTCCAGTCTGCAAAAAGGACAAAATAAAACCTGCCGGTCAGTTGCAGATGCTGCTTGAGAGGCGAAAAAAAACAAAACATGTAAAAGGAAAGTCGTTCAGAGGGGAGAACTCAATGCTATATCTGGGGCAGTACCTTAAGAACTTAAAAAAGGAGCACACCAATACTTAATATACAGAAGAGACGCTTTTTATCACTGAGCACACCTACCACACAAAGGGCTTTGCAACAGAAACAGAAAGATCCAGGTAAAGTGACAGCCCACAGTTGTTGTTTTTATATTTTTATTGTTTCCAGAGAGGATGGGAGAGGGAGAGAGAGATAGAAACATCAATGATGAGAGAGAATCATTGATCAGCTGCCTCTTCCATGCCCCCCTTCTGGGGATCGAGCCCACAACCCCAGTATGTGCCCTTGACCGGAATCGAACCCGGGACCCCTCAGTCCGCAGGCTGACACTCTATCCACCGAGCCAAACTGGGTAGGTAGGGCAGCCCACAGTTCCTTTTGGCGATACACAGAAAGCACCTAGAAAGCTCAAAGCAGTAAAGACCCACCACGGGGCAACACGCTATGTATGTCAGTGTGAGTCTGTGTGTGTGTGTGTGTGTGTGTGTGTGTGTGTGTGTGTGTGTGTGTGTGAAATCACAGTAAGCAGAATCTCAAATGCAAGCCTCTCCCACCCCAGACCACAGAAACACTGCGAGTGGATGTGAGTCATGCTGACAAGCAGAAACCTCCAGGCTCTCTCAGGCTCTCGAAACAAGATGCAGAGTAAACACACAGAGAACTGTCACAGGAGTGTGACCAAGGGTCTCGCATGACAGCAAACCAGTGCCCACGTGCAAGGAGGAGAGAGAACATCGGACTCAAAGGGAGATGTGTGCAGAACTCACACCCAGTCCTGTGCCTACCACAACCGAAACCTGGTGTCCCCAGCATGCAACGCTCAGAATCCGCTACCCCCACGGCCTTCCCCTGGGTCTGAATGTCACCCATGAAGGGCCAGGACTCACCGAGGTTTCACGGCTTTGGTCTGGGGTGCCCTGGGAGAGGGAACAGGCGGCGTCAGTTCAGACTTGGGCTCCGGGTCGGCCCCCAGGTCTGTGCTCTGCACTTCTCCGAAGGGGTTCAGGGATTTTCCCCGTCCGGAGACAACAGCCGTTGTATCCTTCTCCGATCTCTTCGCAAGGCCTTCAGCGGGCCCCGGCCCGTCCTCCCTCAGCGGGCCCTCCTGCTCCTTCCCAGGGGTGGTGGCAGGGCTTTCACCCTCACTGCCCTTGGCCACCTCCTTCTTTCCTGTCACCAGAGAAAGCAGAGAGGACTTCTTGCTCTCGTGCTTCTTACTCTCTTTGGCTTCTTTCACGGCCTCCAGTTTCGCCGGAGCTGTGTTTTCCCCGAAGTCCCCGCTGCCCTGTGGCCAGGAGGGCGGCAGGGTCATGGATTTCGGGGAGTTCTTTGTGGAAGACTCGGAGAGCCACTTGTCAGAGGACACAGCACTCCCATCCCCGGGTTCCTTCCAGGACCGAGGAGACAGGTTTTCTGTGGAGGAGAACAAATGCCTCTTCCTGAAGCCCTGAGGGGACGGGGAAGAGGAGGTGCTGTCCTTGGGCTCAGGCTTGCTTTCTGGCTGCTCCACGTAAACGTGGTTCCCGTTGATGCAGACGTTGGAGCGGGAAAGCGAGTCGTTCTTGGACCGAAGGCCGCCAAGGAAAGAGAGCCCTTCCTTCTTGGGGAGGCTGAGGTGGGCCTGGTTCAGTTGCTTAGGATCTGCACTTCCTGATCTCTTGTGAGACATGACTGTGGGGAGGAAAACAAAGGGAAAAGGGAATAAGGAGTTAAACCACTGGCCCACAACTGGAGGGGGCGGGGATTTTGTCCGTAGCCAAATACATTCTCGGTTGTCACAGGTATGGGACAGCCCCCCACAACAAAGAATTATCTGGGACACGCTATGAGCAGTGCTAAGGCTGAGAAACCCTGCATTTAGTCAATGGGAAGGGCAGCATTTTGGGTAGAGTAACAGAATCTGGACAACAGTAGGGGTTTGATCATTGAAATTGCAGTTCAAAATACACAGTTAATTCAGAGTAAAGGGAACTGGATTCCTCAGCTTTCATTATGGATTTATCCCGTGAGGTGTAGTGCAATAATAGGATTCAATAAGTACCTGATGAATTAATGAAATATCACTAATGTTCCATGGCTTAACCTTTAATTAAAAAAATAAAAATAAAAAATAAAAAACCTGCCCGGCTGGTGTGGCTCAGTAGTTGAGCATTGACATTTGAACCAGGAGGTCACAGTTCAATTCCCAGTCAGGGCACATGCCCAGGTTGTGGGCTCAATCCCCAGAAGGGGGCGTGCAGGAGGCAAACAATCAATGATTCTCATCACTGATGTTTCTATCTCCCTTTCCCTTCCTCTCTGAAATCAATATAAATATATATCTTTTAAAAACACAAAAACAAACCTGGATGCACTCATTTTGCTTGATCTAGACGCTTGTACTAATGTACATCAGTTATAGAACCAGACGTTTAGGAAAAGAAATTTATAAATTCTTAGAAACCAGAGGGCTTAGAAATAGTGAAGGCTTCCTAACCAAGATAATCCATCACCACCACCACCACCACCACCACCACCACCACCACCACTACCATTTTAGTAACTGAGAATCTGAATTAAAATCTCTCTCTTAAGATTAGTGTGTGTGTTTTCTCTCTCAAAGCAGTTAAGCTGAGGGCAAGAGGCCAAGCAAGAAGGAGGAGGGAACTCACTGTCCAAGGCTGAGGAGGACTCATCCTCATTGTCATCATCCTCCCACCGGGACTGAAAGTCCCCGGGACGCAGCAGCACTTTGTCTGCTTTTGGAGTAGGCAGGACGGACATGGACTGGGAAAGCGGTGTTTTCTGCAAGTTAGACTTGGAAAACAAGGTCTTAATCTTCGACTTCTTTTTCTTGTCCTTCGAAGGTGACTCATCATCGCTGTCGACAGAGGGCGATGTGCTGGGGAGGATGGCTGAGGCGGTATCCGAAGCACTATCCTTATTCTTCCCCCTGATCTTGTCCTTCAGTTTCCCAAAGGGATTCCGAGACTTGTCTTTCACGGACAGGTCGAACATGCTGGCAGTCATGTTGTTTCTCATAAATTGGATGTCAACCTCAATTTCTCCTCGCTCTTTTTCCTTCTTTCCTGGCTTGGATTTCAAGGTGTACCACCTGCAAGGAGAAGGTGGAGAGGTTACCTTTGAACTGAAGAGCCTAAAACAACGTTCACAATCCCTACAACCTGGCCCCTCCTCTCGGCTGTTACAACCTCTTATACAAACCTCTTATCTTCTTTGGGGAGTAAAGGGTAGGGGAGGGGGTAAGGACAGAACTTGTAGTTTTATTTTTGAGAAGCCACCCACCAGGCAGAGATAAGATCTGATTCTGTACTCAGTGTAGCATCACCTAAAATCTTGAGTCAGTAAAGTGCTATGTTTAAAAATAAAATAAATAAAAACTCCAACAAATCATTTCCTATGACCAGTATTTTCCTGTAAAGGGTAAAAATGCAAAGATCATGCACACATAGTTAAGAAGGTAGAATGCAAATTTACAAGTACCAGTAAATCTCTGAGTAAAGCTAGGGTTTGTAGAACAGTCCCTGGTAGGGAGTAACTGAAAAATAAGACAGTAAAAATGTATATAGATTCCACTTATATGAGGCATGTGGAATAGTAAAATTCATAGAGACAGAAAGGACAATGCTGGTCACCAAGAGTTGGGAGAAGGAGTGAATGAAGTTAGTGTTTAATGGGGACATAGTTTGCCCTGACCAGTGTGGCTCATTGCCAGAGCATCGGCCTGTGCACCGAAGGATTGTGGGTTTGATTCCCGGTCAAGGGCCCATTTCTGGGTTGTAGGTTCGGCATGTGCAGGAGGCAACCCATAGCTCTCCCTGCCCCACCTTCCTTCCACTTTCTCTAAAAATTAATGGGAAAAATATACTCACGTGAGAATTAACAAAAAAATGTTTTTAAAGTTTTGGGTTGAATGGTGACAATTGTTTCACAACAATGTGAATGTGCTTAATATCACAGAACTGTGTACCTAAAAATGGCTAAAGTGGTAAATTTTGTTATGTATGTATAATTGTTTACCACTATTTTTTTTTCTTTTGCTAACCCTCACCCAAAGATATTTTTCCATTGATTTTTAGGGAGAGTGGAAGAGCAAGAGGCAGAGAGAAACATCGATGTGAGAGAAACATATCGATTGCTTGCTTCCAGCACAAGCACAGACCAAGGTCCCAGGCCTGGGAGGAGCTTGCAACCAAGGTACGTGCCCTTGACCAGAATCAAACCTGGGACCCTTAGGTCCTTGGCCAATGTGCTATCCACTGAGCCAAACTGGCTAGGGCCCACAATTTTTTTATTTTTTTAAAAAGAACATTTCAAATATTATCCGAGTATTTCTCCTGGACATTTGCAAACTACTTCAAGACTTTGGCAAATGATATGTCAATTCCACTCCACTGAAAGACACACTTCAGAAAAAGGCATTTTCCTCCTGGTTAACTGCAAGAATGCGAGCAGTGTGACCACCGCAGACCAAGCAGCTCTAAGTTCACGGTCTCCTGACAGCCAGCCCCAGCATCGCCCTCACAAACAGAACCCACATTCTGACTTCATTTCAGTGACCTATTTAAGAGCTGAGGGCCACGGGGCTTTAAGGAAATGATGGGTTTGCCCAAACAACCACAATTTCCTCTTTCACCTTCAGCCCATCTTGCTCACAGGGCAGATCCCTGCCCTCACTATTTTCGCTCACCCTGCACTTAGAGGAAGGGAGCAGAGGGAGGCAGAAGCCTAACACTGAAATAGCACCTCCAGCATACTTGGCATGGCACACCCTGAGAAACATCCTCATTTAGATGACAGTTCTCACAAAGAATGACATTTCTTTATCTCAAAAATGGGACCTTTTACCCATTTTACAGATAAAAGAGATTAAGGCTTGCAAGTGAGGTAATTGGTGCTAGGTCTTAGGACTCTTAAGAGGCCTAAGAGTCTTAAGACTCAAGATTCAGCCTTTTAAGAGTCCTGAATCTTGAACCTGGGAGTCCTGAATCTTGAAACTGGGTTCTGAATCTTGAACCTGGGACCCTTTGGTCGCAGGCCAAACCAGCTAGGGCTCAACTCTTTTTGAGAAAAGTTTGAGCTTCTAATTTAAAAAGAAAGGGGGAGAACCCACCATAGCTTGCCACCAGTCATTAATCATAAGCTTTCATAAAGTCCAGGGTACAAAGTCATCACAAAGAACTTAACCTGCATGATCAAAATACAGCTGAGATCTGAGAAAATGATGTCAGCTATGATTTTGGACCTTGAGGAGAAACCCTATGGTTTTTAAAACCACAGTCCACAGTTGGAGAGGGAGGGGAGATGAAAGGTCCTGACAGACAGCCCCTGGTCTCTGCCAGCCTGCTGTCTTTCCAGAACATTTCCGGGACCTGGCTAGGAATAGTTTGCATATTTGTCACTTAGATGTTGAGAGGATTATTTGTATTTTTCCTCTTCTGACAGTCATGTGCTAAATGGTAGCCTTCGTGAAGAAGGTGGTTACCTTTTGTAAATACCAACTTGAAAAGGGGAAGTTGCTGAAAGCTGAGTCCCAGGGCTCAGAGGACCACGCCAGCCACACGCAGAGAGCTGCCCCTCTCCACCCAGGGGATGCGAAGACAGAAGACAGGACAGACTTTTAAAGAATACGTACTTGGCAGTTCTTGGGACCAGACCTGCCTTTCCAAAAATATCAGAGCCAATGGCTGTTTATTTTGAGCAAAGCTCCCACCAACTCTAGCATCCTCCCTGCGGGCCTATTATTCCCTGCTGCACAGGTTCAATCCCCAGGCGCTAAAGTGGGATTTGTTTTGGGAGTCCAACACCACTAGGAGGTGTGAAGAGACACTTCACCAACTGGTCCTGTCTGTTTACTTTCACAAACAGCCCAAACAAACACCAAGTAACCCCAGAACAGCTCCATGTAAGGAGGTGAAAGGCAGACTGAATCACAGGCGGGGAAGCATCTCATGCATATGTTCAGAAGGTTTAAAAGCCCATGCTGGGTTTATTAAGCTAGAAAGGAAGACACGAGTTGTTTCTTCTATTATCAATGTTATCCAAGGGGTATTTGACCCAAACATACTTTATAACAAGAGTTATAAATCATCCGAAGGAATCCCCAACCAGAACATGTAATGGGGTTTTCATCTTTAAACATCAATTCAATTTTTAAGCACTTCTGTTCATTTGCTTTTAGGTTCGCTTAATTCCAGCACCTTACGGAAGTAGTTCATCAATAATAAAGCACGGCCACCCAGTGCATGATGTCAGCGTGGGCGCGTCCAGCGTTACCTTTCAGGTAGCCCGGACGGCTCCCACTATCTCAGAAATCAGGGCCGGGTTCGTTTTCCTAGTCCAAAGGGCGAGAACAGAAGACAGCCATAATCCCAATGCAGCAAGTTTATTTTTAAACCCATGTCTAACAAACCCTGCCGCCTATCAAAAATGATCCCTTCCATACGCAAATAGTGATTTTTATTTATAATTAAAGTTCAGTTCTTCAAAATTTAATAGGATTTCTGAATACATAGGAAGTGACAGGAGACTTACGTAAACTATATTTTTAAGTAATAACAGGTATAGGATTAAAATTAAAAACATACAAAATGGTATAGAGCCCTAGCCAGAGGTCACCTATCGGATTCCTGTTCAGGACATATGCCTCGGTTTGTGTGCTCGTTCCCCAGTAGGGGGTGTGTAGGAGGCAGCTGATATTTCTCCCTTTCCCATCCTCTCTTGAAAATCAATAAAAACATATATTTTTAAAATGGTATGGAATGAGCCGAAACCAGTTTGGCTCAATGGATAGAGCATCGTCTTGAAGACTGAAGGGTCCCGGGTTCAATTCCAATCAAGGGCAGGTACCCTGGTTGCGGGCATATCCCCAGTAAGGGGTGTGCAAGAGGCAGCTGATCAATGACTCTCTCTCATCGATGTTTCTAACTCTCTATCTCTCTCCCTTCCTCTCTGTACAAAATCAATAAAATATATTTTAAAAATAAAATAAAATGGTACGGAATGAAAACTTCAGTCTTCCTACCCCTCCATGCTCCTCAGGCAAGTGTTAGTCTTGGGCATATACAGCTGCCCTCCTTTTGGGGGACTTCGGTTAGGGTTGTTTATTTTGGTTTGTTTGTTTGTTTTGTTTTTCATCAAATAATAGCTTAAAAAAGAAAAATTCTTTTAAGTCTTCTAGGTGTAAGATTAGGTCTAGGACCTAAGAGCAGTAGGGAATGTGAAAAAAGAATGAACTGGGTACAGGAAGGAAAAGAGGTGGGAGGCAGAACTCAGGATCCCCCTCCACCCTTAACCCCACCCCCAGGGCTGGGTTGGGGAGCTACTGTCTAGATCTGCACTGTCAAATCCCCTGGGCTTTGAAACAGTCCTTTTGAGAGCAGTTCATGCCATCCAACCATGCCCAATTCTCAAGGTTGATTTGCCTCAGAATGCAGTCTCTCAAACACACGGAGAGCGGAGAGCAGGTCCCAGGGGCCTTCCATCGGAATGCGGCAGGGTGAGGGCAGCGTGGCTCCCCACCTTGGGAGAGGAGAAGGGGAGGCATTGGAGATTGCACTTGTAAAAGACTGACTGGTGTGTCTCAAAACGAATCTTCCTGCAGATGAAGTAAGCCTGCTTTTCCTTCAAAACATTCCTGAGGGCAGGCGCGTGCAGAGAAAGGGTGGCTCCAAAGATTCGGTTCAAATACTGTTTACATGCCCGGCACTGAACACGTAAAGCAAGGAGGCCAGATTCTGCCCTAAAAAACTTACCCTCTTGGGGGGGGGAGTAGAGGGACAGAGTGAGTTTAGTAACATCTTCACCAAGTGTTGGTGACGCTGGCACAGCGGCTGCCTTTTCTTTCTAACTTTGGAGCACGAGAAAATCATCAGACATGAAGAGAAACTACAGTTGTACCACAAATGAGGACTCGCACACACGAATCCAGTTCTCAGCTCATTTAAACCCCAAGGGACTACTAGAACCGCTTCCTTAGGGGTCCCGCTAAATGAATTAATACTGTGTCCTCCAATTGGACACGGAAAGGCAAGGCAAAGGGGAGGACCACAGCTCTATAAAACACTTCAATGTTTTACAGTATTTGTTTCATGT